GGTAGTGGTTAATTCATTCAGGCCGACATGAGTGTGGCGTTGAACCTCAACCGGCCGTAACAGAAAGCACCCCATTATGCAGTGAGACTGAGTTGCAGCTTCACAGTTACACTGATAATAAGTATTTTTACAAGCATGCCAAGTTAAAATAAGGCCAGGTATCTCACAGCTGAGCTGGGGGAGGGGGCCAAATCCGACCCTCCCTGGCAGAGAGATAATGCAAAAAAATCCAGCTCTTTTAGGGTTAAAGAAATATCTGATTTGGAAATAATTGGAAAGAGTCCACTGAATACTGAACGAAAAAATAACAACAGCTTTAAATTGACTGAACATTTGACAAATCTTTAAGGTGATGTGAGAAGGTTTTAGCATTTTTAGATTTTCTACAGAAGAGAGGGTCATGCAGTCTTGGATTTTGGCCAGGCCTACCTTCCATATCTTCAGCTTCTTCATCATCGTCGTCATCGTCGTCGTCCTCATCTGCTGTTTTCGCCTGTGCTTTCTCCTTGCCGTCCATCACTTCCGTTGTGTCTGACTGAGCTGCCGCCGACTGGTCTAATATTGCCCAAGACATCAAATATTCAGTTATACTATATACCTATTATTAAAATATGCATGTTTATGTGGTGGCTAGCTTCATTGAGTCTCAGGACATGGGTCCGTCTCCTAGTTAAACGAGCAGGCGGATGTTCAGTCCTATTTGGTGTTTATTCCCTTTGTTGTCGAAGATCACACACCACAAAAAACTGGACAAAAGAAAAACTTAAATGATAAGTGCTTTTAGTGTTATTTATTCAAGGCGTTTTCTTGCAACACCCATACCTTGAAATATGCTTTTAGAATTCCATTTTGCAACCAAATAATTGAACTTCGTTCCCTTTTCATTGCACCGATTTTCACCTCTGAATGTTCAATTTTTGAAATAAATGTTTGACTATTTAATTAATTAAATATCAAATTGATTGAATATTCAAATATTCAGCAGGGCCCTACAATGCAAGTTAAATTTGATTAAAATCTGGAACACTGTGTTATCTGATTGCACATAAACACAACAATTTGAAATCCCTAGACTGAAGACACTGTTGTTATTCAAGGCAAACTTTTGCAAAGCGACCACAATCTCTGGAATGGACTGATTCCTTTGTGCCCTTCTTATCCGTTGAAAACAGTGTATTGGTACAAGGCATCTCTTATGTAACTATGTAAAAGCTTGCCCCGAATCGCAAGGTATAGCAATAGCATATTTAGTATGGAGAACTCTAACTGATATCTTCATGTGAATCTAAAGAACTCGGTGTATCCGATTTTATTCAAATCTAACTCACAAAAGGCTTATTTATCATGGGAAAATGGTCGGCATCAGTGAAAAAAACTGTCTGTCAGATCTCTGTCCTCCTCACATGGGTAAGATTGGAGGAAAATGAAATATCCATGAAATAATCACCACTGGTTCCATTAAAGTGCCCTGAGGCAGCATAGGGTCAACAGTGCACATTTGTGTTTGCCTAGAGGCATCCCTTAAAATACCCATTTCTTGTGTTCTAGAGATCAACTTTTGTGCCTAAAAATGACGGAAAACTCAGAGTCTTCCAGAGTTTGAAAGAGATTGTTAGAAAAATCCTGAAATCAGGAAAATTCCGGACAAATCTCACCCATATCCTTGAGGGATATCTCTGTACAAAGTTTCCAATCCTTGACAAACCACCTTCCCCATAGAAGGCCTGCGTGGAGTGCCCCCCCAGAGGATGTGTTTTGCCATTTAGATTTAATGGCAATGAATGCACAAAAGGTTTACTCGAGCCTACATGTGTCCTAGAAGAAAAAAGAAATGCTCTCTAACATGGCGTCATACGCAAGTCCTCTATACATGTACCTGCATAATGGTGAGTGTCCACCCATCCGCCGTCCCCATCTTCCTCGTCGATGATAGCCTCATTCTCCTCCTGATATTCCATCTGTTTGCAGCGTTTATGGCACGGCACTGGATGACAACGAACAAGGAATCAATGTGACATGAACAGTGTGCCCATCTGCACTTCTGCACTGTGAGAGAATAACTGTATTCCCTTTTCTGCCATCTGTTACATGTACATGTTCAGATTTCGTCTTTTGTCAAATGAGAATATAAATTTTTCAGTATAAAACTCTAACTCCCCCCCCCGTGGCTTCACTTTTCCCCTCCCCTGCATTGCATCCACATTGGTTACTTTCCAGAGCACACAGTCGTGATTTGCTACACGCATAAGAATGAGGACGGAGCACTGCGTTTGCCTTTGTTCCCACAACACAACACTATCCCACAGACTAAGCACAGGCACTTATCACTGAAGACAACAGATCAACTACTGAGGACCCAGAAACACCCTTTATTCCATGTATTATGTCTTAAAAGGTAAAGCAAAACCTGTCCACTCTATTCAACTTCAAACATCATTCCGTACATAGTAAGCTGGTGTTAAATTACATGTACCATTGTGTTCAAAATTATTTATACCCTTTGGAAAATAACCTAAGGTACTTTTTAAATTTTTCCTTCGTAAAAGCTATTGCGTTGGTACTTCCACTATATCTTTTGTCTATTTGTTGCAATACACAAACCCACATGTGTGTTGGCTAAACTTCATTTGCATAATAATAGATACCACACAGGTTTCTTTTTTGCTCCTGGTCAAAATTATTCATTCCCCAGAAAAATCCCAAGAAAAAATGCGTTTTTATTCACAGCGCTTATTTTCACTTTCTACAACTGCAAGAATCTTTGGCATGAAGCTATTTCAAGATGTTCCAATAGAATAAATACCTTCTTTTGATAACTTTGTGTTCAAGATTCTGATGAAATGCCATCTCCTTCAAAGAGTATAAAAAGAGGAAAAGTTTTCAGATCATTCTCAGCTACTTGTTGCCATGGCGAAGAAGACGGAACTCAGTGAGGATATACATGTACACCAGTGAATCGTGAATGCCCATAAAGAAGGCAAACGCTACATGGCAATTTCCAAGCAATATGAGGTCCCTGTTGAAACAGTTCAGAGTAGCATCAGAATAAGAGGTTCAACGCAGTGAAAAACCTCAATGGGTGTGGCAGGAAGTGCAAAGTATCTCCTAGACTCTCCTGAAAATCTGCCGGGAGGCCAACAACAACCCACAGATCAAGGCACCAATTGATACCCTTGCCAAGGCAGGGACAAAGGTGTCATGGGCAACCATCCAGTGAGTATTGCACAAAGGAGGTCTCCACAGACGCAGGCCCAGGAAGACACCACTACTCGGGAAGAAACATAAGGAGGCTCGTCTGGCATTTGCCAGAGCGCATCTGAACCAATATCCTACCTTTTGGTTAATGGTCCTGTGGTCTGATGAGACAAAGATGGAGTTGTTTTGCCACAAGGATATTGCCTACATCTGGAAGAAGCAAGGAGAAGCATACAAGCAGATGAACACAGTCCCAACCGTCAAGCATGGTGGTGGCAGCATAATGTTATAGGGTTGCTTCTCGGCTAGTGGCACTGGGAACCTCATTAAAATACAGGGCATCATAAGAAAGTAGGATTATATCAAGATCCTTGATAACGATGTGAAAGCGTCTGTTGAGAAACTCCAGCTTGGACCTGATTGGACGTACCAGCAGGACAATGACCCAAGCACACCGCCAAGGTAGTAAAGCAGTGGTTCAAGGACAACGGTGTCCATGTACTGGAATGGCCTAGTCAAAGTCCTGACATAAATCCAATAAAGAATCTGCGGAGGGAGCCGAAGACTGGAGTGATGGCCAGAAGACCATCCAACCTGACCCAGCTGGAGGCTTTCGCCAAGGAAGAGTGAGCCAACATCCCACAGGAGACATGCAGAAAGCTGGTGGACATCTTATAGGAACCGTCTTCAGGCAGTGATCAAGAACAAAGGTCACGCTATTGACTATTAAGAAGAGACTTTGGACTATGTAAACCTGGGTATGAATAATTTTGACCAGGAGCAAAAACGAAACCTGGGCCGTGTCTATTATTATAAGTTTAGCCAACACACACGTGGGTTTGTGTACTGCAACAAATACATGTAAATAAGAGACATAGTGGAAGTAATAGCTTTTACAAAGGAAGAATTTTCAAAACTATGTTATTTTCCAATGGGTATGAATAATTTCGAGGACAACTGTATGTCTTGAGGTGTATTGGCACAGCCTGATTCTGGTTAGTACATGTAAGAAACATAAAAAAGTACTTGTAATCATTTCATTTGAAACTTATACACAACATACATGTACATGTAGCTTGGACCAGTTCCTCCTGCATGCATAGTGTTATCAATGCCAATAAGCCATTTGCGAGTTAAATTTGAATAAAATCTGGAATAAACTGAGTTATCTGATTGCACATAAACAGAACGATTTGAATTCCCCGGACTAAAGACGTTGTTGCTATGCCTTGTGATTCGAGGCAAGCTTTCGCATAGTGACCACCATCTCTGGAATGGACTGGTTACTTTGTGCCCTTCTTATCCATTGAAAACAGTGTATTGTTGCAAGGCGTCTCTTATGTAACTAAGCAAAAGCTTGCCCCAAATCACGAGGTATAGTAACAGTGGTTTTACCATGGAGAATTCAAGTTGTTATGTTCACGTGAATTTAAAGAACTCAGTGTACCAGATTTTGGTCAAAGTTACCGGTAACCATGGTAACTCGCAAAAGGTTTATTACCCTCTGTCCCTCTCTCTCATACATGTTCATGTTTATGTACATGTATGTACTGCAGTGTTGCAGTATAGCTCATCAGAAGTCCCTGCAAGTCCCTCCCAAGTCATCCAGTCTTAAGCCAAGGCGCAACCTAAGCTACATGTACATGCTTTCTGTCCTAATCGCTGGACATTTACAAGAGCTCTCCTCTGGTATTTTTTCACCCTGCTTTATAGACTTGTGACTGGACTTGTGAATTTGTGATGGACTAAACTGCAACACTTAGAGTGTGTGCATTGAACACATGTACTGCTTCTCGCAAAATACAAGGGTCGGTCAGACGTGGATAGGTGATGGAAGGATGGAAGGCTCTAACTTAACCTTTCTTTCTCCTCCAACTGTAACTGCCTCCATTCAGTAGGGGCTGGTGTCATATCTGGGTAAGTGATGCCAGGTATTTCACCCTATTATTAATTCCCACCTTCTGTACCCTCCAAGCTTTCAACTTTTCCATGCAGGTAGATAAAAACAGTCAAGAACGCGGTCCAAGTCGTGAACTAAATAAGCCCTCTACATGTGCTTCAACTTCAAACTGGTTAAAAAAGAAAATGGGCGAATGGGGGGGGGAGGTGGGGACTGGCGCTATTGTATTCTTTCCAACACCACTCTTGTCATCTCACCGTTCTTGGTCACTAGGTACTGCTTGTCCTTGGGCAGGTATGGCTTGCTCTTGCTGGGGTCCCCCGCCGCCCACTGCCACGTTGGACAGTGGTGGACCATGTGATCTCCCGCGCACAGGAACTCCTCCGGCGTTATCACGCCAGTCTCCCGGAACTTGGATTCCTGCCGATAGTGGTAACATGGTTTAACTGAAACAGCTCCAGGATAAAAGGACCATGTGAAAAAGCACATTTACATTGTTCATGTATGGTGGAAATAAAAGCAAAGACACAACCATAGGCAAGTTCGATCAAGGCCCATAGTTTTAAACCATAGATCCACAAACTCTCATCAAATGCACGCTAGTCGATAATGGTTGGACTAGTCTAGTCAACTATTTGCGACCACCCCGTCAATGTTGGTTGCATCGTTGGTTGCCATAAACCAATTAAAATAGCGCAATGCAGAAAGGACCAGTAATAAGGAAAATGCCGGGAAAACATAACAGTATGTCACTAATAAACGACAGTTTTCACTTTAACCCTTCCGGCGGCCTCTTTTTTCCCCTTTGGCCTAGCAGCCTGAAAATGGTTGCCTAGGGTCGTTCGCACTTCACTACACATGTGCTAGGTACGTCACGAATCAACCACTACCGGTAGTTAACTAATGGTCCTTCACTGAACTTGCCCCATGTAAGGTATTTATAAAAATAACTTCACGGAGATACAATGTACAGTACATGTACACTACAGGGCTTTTCAGATAAAATTGAGTGTAAAACCAATGATTCTTCAAAAAAGTCAAAATACACACACAGTGTGTCAAATGCTCAATACAGGAATTGCATTTTTTTAAATACATGTTGGAGGATTCAAGAGCACTTCAATTGTCCACTTCAAGTGTGTTTTTCATGAAAATCTCAGCAGCGGCTAAGACAGACCTACATACATGTACATGTACATGTACAGACACCACTCACCTTAAGGCGCTTCTGTCCTCATTTCAAAATCTCTGGCACTGACAAGAACATTGAAACAAACCAACACCAAATGCCCTTGGATGTTTCTGGGTATTTCATTTTAGACAGTGCTAGAAGTGTAGTCCACAGCTGGGGCTGAGATACAGTATAAATGCTAGGAAGCACTATCAAGCCAAAATGTGTATTTGATAATCCCAGTGTCAGGGGCATTTTGCATGTGCCTTTCGCCCTTGATTGCCTTGTTAACAGAAAGGAATTGTCTACTGGCCAGTTCTGATCAAAAAATCTCAGAAAACTTGACCCTTTGCCAACTCGACCCGGGACAGCCTGACCAGTGGGAGATTTCCACCATCTGTGCTTCAAATGGAAAGATAAGTTGTCCATTGAGATAAAAGTCAACTTGGATTGGTGTGTGTGGGTGTTTGTGGACTAGCCAGAGGAAGCATGGAGATTCCAACATCCTGCTGGCATCCTGTCAGGGGTTTGAGAAGCTTGGTAGTGACAGTTTTATTGAAACTGGGGCTGAAGATTTTTTGTTGTGTCAGGGTTTGATATTAGATACATGTACTAAACACCTGGTGAGGTTGCTTGATACCACTGACCACCATCAATTAACAAGCACTGCTGACATGTTGAAGGTAGTGGTTTACGTGGTCAGACTAGTGACTGATCATCCCTGTGTCCATGGAACCAGGGCTTGAAATTGGGCTTTAGAACCATCAGGGGAGCAAGTACTTGTAATTGCTCCCTAGACAGCTGAATTTGTCAGTTTATAGGAGCAAGTACATGTAGCTCCCACATGCCATTAAAGATATACACTGTATATACCTGTACTAGAAAATTAAGCAACTTAATACAAAGTGACAAAACAAAAAAAATGAGGGGTTACTGACTGATGAATGAAGAAAAAAACCTCTGATGGTCTTTGGTGTTGTTTTTGTTTAAATTAATAACACTGATAACTTATCGCAGAAACTTTGGCAGAGATTAAAACCTTTAGCTACACATGTAAATGCCATGATTGTGTTGTTAATTTTGTGATAAACTAAGATAGCTTTTGTGAAGTAACAATTGAAAAAGCTAACTTGCGATAGACCAAAGTCCAACAACTTGCAAAATACACAGTGTGTTTTTAAAAAAAGGAAACCGAGATTAACTTCTTCATTTCTTGGATATGGCTTAATATTTTGAAAATTGGCAACCACCATTTATTAACTAATGATGTTCTCTTTCTAATGACACTAAGAAATCCAGTTTACTGTCACAGATGACTGAGCACGAAGCAGTTCAATCAATCATGTCGGAACTGGTCTTGCACCAGATTCACCACAGCCTAACTCCGACTTGTAATTCCTGGCCCATATCTCCTGGCAGACACACGCAGGTCTCTTTGTTGCAACTAACGGACAGCCCTGATGTTCTTTGTCGGCCTGAGTGACCCTTGTTGAGATTCAAGTTTGTCCCCTCCCTTTGGTACTTTTTTCGGATTTTCCAAATTGTGGACTTGGCGGGAATGGCACAGTCAGGAAAACGCTGACCAAATGCATCTGCTACTGGCTGGAGGCTTCCAGTCCTGAACCACTCTGTTACCACAAACACACATTTCTCAGTTGTAAACTGCATTTTGCTGGTCTGAGAAAATGAACAACCTTTCCAACTTTTAAGGAGCGAGCAATGAAATAACATGCTGAGGACTGCATAATTTGGAGGCCCAACAAAAGTCCTGGCACTTTACAAAACATCTACATGTACATTGCAACTGGAGCAAGAACAGTTCTGACATGGTTGATTGAACTGCTTCGTGGTCAGTCATCTGTGATACCGAAGCATGTACATGTACATGTAGTAAATTGAATTTCTTGGTGTCATAAGAAAGAGGAATACTAACGTTCCACTTAGTAGAGCTATGCTAGCTACCCACACGTACCCATTTATCATGATTAATACATGTACATGCAATATAAATGTCCACGGTGGATCACAAAATTTCAATGTTGTAATTAATACACAGAAATACTTCACAGAAAAAAGGGACACTGTAGTTCCAGAACAGTAGAAGCACCAACCTGACCAAGTGAGAGGCAAGGCGTGTAATTGTGGGCCAAATTATAGGTTTCTTGAACTAGGCCACACACACAAGAGTGACAAGACATATATCAAACACAGTTTTACTGCATATATGTACACACGTCATGCACGAATCTATTTATTGCCATGATCAGAGCACTGATCATCATGATCATGCTGATAATACGGCCGTTTCACAATACTGCGCCACCAAGAGTTTGCAACGCATTGGCCAATCACAATGTGTGTAATTTGTCGACCCAATGCGCGTTTGGAAAGGGTCGACAAATTTTGCGTATTATGATTGGCCAACGTGTTGCAAACTCTTGGTGGCGCACTATTGTGAAATGGCCGTATTCCGCCATGAGTATCACTGCCAATTGCATTTTCGCTCCATTAAATCTGGGTTGGTGGTTGATAAAGATTGTTTTGAAAAACGTGAGATTTCATGAAAGATTGACTGATAACGCAACACATCATCAGCATGCAATGAACATGACAGGGAACACAGGCGCTCACTTGCGAACTGTCAACTTCAACGCCCTAGTGTTAACTGGCATGACTTGTTAAACATGTTAAATAAACATGTTAACGTTAAAGTTTAAACTTGTGGCTTGCCTTCAGAACCGGAGTCAGAAACTCTGCAACATTCAGCGCAGTGCCTTTTACGCTGTTTACTAAACTCTGCATCTCGAAGAAAATACTCAGCAATCTGGCAGATCAAAAGCAAAGATATCGAGCCAATATGGGACCAAAATGTCAATCCCACAACATCGTCCGCAGAATAGGGCCGTAGAGTTTGTCGATATCACACGAGTACAGCCGGGCACCCGGAAGTGTGAAAGTTCGTTCAATGGTTCCCGTTGTTATGACGTGCTTTGTCTGGGGTGATCATCGCTGGTACCTCTCCTTTCCCTGCAACATTTACGCCCCCTAAACCAAAAGAGGGCGCTGTGTTGACTAATTAACATCCCTGCATGATATGACACGCCGTAGTACAGTGCTGCGGCGCAAAGAACTGCTGCGGGGGACATGTCTGGGCGTTAAGTTTCGTTCTTTTTTCAATAATTCGACAAGGGGCCAGAGTCCGAAGATTACAACTGAACCTGAAGTAAGTTTTGCCGTAGCTGGTAACTTTGTAAAGTTTCCTTTCACGCAGTAACGATAGGCCACCAGATAAAAAAAAATCATTTTGCCTAAATCTCGGTCACGACGTCAGTTGGCATGATGCGGGTTGACGTTGGCATGGTTGGTGCAATGGTGGGTCCAAGCATTAGTACGGCACTAGCATGACTAGGCCGACGTTGGGCCCGGAACATGCGGGGTCCGGGTACGAGCTCCAACACAATAATCAATGGCAACACCCTTGCACAAACCATTCGAGCACGACAAGAAACTGAAAAAAATTAATTTCTATTTCCTTAATCACGGACATCATGTACATGATGTGGGCCTAGGATTACTCAAGGTAAAAATAGGCTAGGCCTAGCCTAAAAAGTAAATATAAATGCTTCATAGTGTTAATGTTAGACATTCGGGAAATTGAGTGCATGACCATGTTTACTGCGAAGGGTAACTTTGCCCCTCTGCCGAATATTAAAAATCTGCAGCCAGCTACAATGTGGGAAAGGTGAGTGGTGGGGTATTTTGCGATTGTGCCATCTGTACATGTACGTCATGCAGACCGCGAGGATTTTCTCTGCCATGCCCTGCCACACTTGACGATAGGCCTACATGTACAAATTTTACATGTTTCACAAACTTTCAGGGCACGTTCCCATCATAAACCGCCGTCATGACTGCAATGTCCACATATGAAACTCTTTTAGTGTAATTTGTTGAGCATGATCAGTCTTGAGAAAAACTTGCAGCACTAGGCTATCACAAACTTTCACCTCAGGCTTTTGTATCAGCACAGAGAGTGAACGTGTGCCGTGACCTCCCCCCCCCAAAAAAAAAATCCTCCAGAGCTACAAGTCGCCCCCCAAAAATGAAATACTATGCTGCAAATATATTGCAAAAACCAATTTCAGCAAACCTTCAAATTGTCCAGGTGGGTCTTTAAGCCAGGTCGCTGTATTTTGAGCCACGCACATTAACCTTATCCCTAACCCTCCAAAGGTGCTTGTTGGCTAGAAACCCTGTCAGACCATCAAACTGCATCATTTGTCAAAGTGGCTTGCATGCCCAGTGTAACAAAATCCAACAGGTCAACCCTCCCCAAGGCCAAACAGCTTGGGAGTCTTTGGTTGCCAGGCACCACAAGATCCAACAGTGGCATTGTTCAATGGGACTAGCTCCCATTGTCTCATCATGCCAAGTGCATCAAAGTGCATCACACTTTATCACCTGATAGACTGTGCTTCGTCTGGCATGGTTCGGTTTCAACATATGTACTTACTCAGGCACAGAAAAAGAAGAATTTGTGTCAGTTCCGTGTAGGTCTTTGAAAAACAAGTGAAACCAGATTTGGCAAAAGTTACACTTCCTTATTTTTATCACAGAGGTCGGTGACTACTTGTACTTGGGTCTAGATGGGAAGCCACAGCAAGAAACACAAGAAAAGCAGACACCGATCGAGATCACGGAGTTTAAGCAGTGAACGCAGGTAGGCCTGTAGTGTAGGCCTATTGTGCTTTTAAAATAGTTGGAAAAAAAAGGAGATACTGTATCAAATCTTCACAATGTCGGCAAGTTTGCCCTACTTTTCAACCCAGTTACTGTGAGGTACTGATCCCCTGTCCCCTTGGTAATATCCCCCTTAAATTTAAGGGTGCCCCCATTAGAAACATTTGGATTCTTTCAACTGAATTGGTTTTATTTAATACTGCCTTGACAGCTGGAGGGCTGAATTAAGAATAGTTTTCCATTTTCAGAAATAAAAAAAGTTAATAATTTCAATCAAATTAAAACAGCACTATTATTCATTTTTGAAAGGTAATTACAAATGAGTTGTGCTATTCTCTACTTTTGTTTGCGGGTCTGAGTTGACTGTGTGCAAAATAATTTCAAGTTCATTATAGACCATTGGTGTCATTCTGCAATCTTGGTTTTGGTGTAAAACAAAATGTGAAGAGTTTATTTCCATAACGAGATCAGTGCCATTTTGATCTCTGAATTCCACCTTGTGGTTGCCTCCAGCCTGTTTCTATGTGTTTTGCTTAGTAAAAAACAGCTCACTGAGTAAGAAGAGTGAATAATAACATTTAGGCAGACCTGGTATTCTGTTTTTGTTCTTGAATATTTCAAAATCATGTCGATGTTGCTGAATATTTGAATGGTGTATTCTCATTTTGGAATGAAACCCTTCATATCTTTGCATAACATCAAAGCATCAGCACATTGATTTAATATCAAAACTGGTCAAAGTTTTCTTTTCTCCATTGTGGTATTCCATTTTTTCCCTCTTTTTTCCGATTGTATTTTAATTCATTTGTTTATTAAAGCGTTGTTGATGTGTTGACTGTGTTGATAGGAGTAGTGCCTGTTGATGATAATAAGTACTACCCAATTAGTGACCTGTACAGTATGTTCCAGTATGCATTGAAAAATTCACCCTTTGGGTGTATTGATCTGTAAGTAATATAATTGATGTTAATAATTTGTTATTTTCCTGTCTTTGATGAAATCTAGACACCGCAAATCTCGTCGGAGGTCAAGGTCCCGATCTCGGTCCAGTAGTAGTGATTCAAGCCGCAGTGACCGGCGGACGAAATCAAGGAAGCACCATCGCCGATCGCAGTCCAGATCACAGAGTCGATCCAGGTATGCATGTCCCAGTTGACAGGACAGGTGTCCAGGTCTGGTAGGGCCAGCACTCGTGTGTTTACCTGTAGACATGCTGCAGAAACAAACTTAGATCAAAATACATAAGTAGGAAAGACCTGCATGTGCATTACAGTAGTTTTTAGCCAAAAAACTGGCTTTGGAGAAGACATTTCTACCGGCACAGCCAAACACCACAGATGCTAACTTGTGAATGTCGTTGGTACAGTATTTGTGTTATACAATGTAAATTTTCACAGCAGTCTCATAATTTGTGATACTCTTGAAGCCCCACGATGGAAAAATATTGGCCAAAGTGCATGTTGTGTAGGCCTATATGTATGTTTATATTGAACGCACTGGTCCGTCTCCACATACTTCTCAGACATCTGTTGTTTATGCAAAACAACCAGGAGATGGAATGCCCATTATCAGATCTGTCAGATCTTATCATGATTTATCCATTGGAGTTGTAGACCTGAGTTACTTGACTTGGACTCAAGTCAGACCCAAGTTACTGTTGTTGTGACCCCATGACTTGACTTGTAACTATCAGTTTTTGGACTTGTGTTTCAACTTTGACTTGCAAAGAATGAGTTGTGACTTGACTTGGATTTTCACGTTATGACTCGTTACCAATGCAAGTCAGAAATCTACTTAATTGAACCCATTATAGTTTAAATTAGGCCTATCTACTTACGCCTTGCATTCTTAAAATACAATGTAGTCAGCGTAACACTTCATTTGGCTCATAACTTTACTTCGGTTTTGTCTTCCCAAGGTCTCACCTGAGTCGCTTAAGTGTGGTTTGAAATCACACATCGTGCAATTTTTTTTGTACTTGGACAAAAGACTTGTGACTCACAGAACTTGTGTTTGGATCAAATTTACTTGTGACTTGACTTGTTTTGTTCTGTGATCAAATGACTCTGTGACTTGACCAAATGACTTGTGACTTGTCTTAAACTTGCAAAAACTTCACTTGTGATTTGACTTGGACTTGCAAAAATTGACTTGCTACCACCTTTGTTATCCATTTTTCATGGTTTTAGGTCTCCCTTAGATCACAGGAGAGGTCGTCGGTCGCGGAGTCGATCGAGAGATCGAGACCGGCATTCCAACAAGCACAGACACCGGTCACGGTCACGCAGCCTCAGTCGGTCAAAGAGAAGGTATTTGTATATTTGAAGCAAGCAGCAGGATTATCACTTGACACACCCCCTCACATTCCTCTCAAAAGCACTGGATAATATCCCTAACAGTCCCAAATCCTCCGATATTAAGATGATTTTACAAACACCCTCAGGGGTTAGGGTTAAGGCAATTTGTCTTGTGCCTCTAATTCCACCATGATTTAGCTAACTACTGACCCTCAGCTTTACCAAGTGCACAAAGTAACAGTCTATTGTTTTGAACCCTGGATGGAAATGCATCCGTGATGCTTGATGCGATTTTATAATGTATCTACACTCTTAGTTATTGCAGTGAAATTGCCTGCTTTTACTTCATCATACTTGTCTTGTAGGTCTTTTAGTAACGAAACATTTCATTGTCAATAAAACATCTTGTAAAAGAATTTCCAAAATATGTTTTTTTAGCATAGAGTTTAATTATTTAAGCCATGTTATCTCATCTCTTCCTAAATGAAGTAATGAAAGAAAATTAACAGATTTTTGGGGGGGGCTTTTTGTGCAGATTTATGCCATGTTCATAGGTTTGAACACACTCCAAAAATGCCCCAACCATGTTCTTTTTCCATATTTATGCTCACTTCCATCTTTTTGAAAAGAAAGTCTTTATCAGAAGTAATAGAGGAAATGCAGCGGTGCTTTTCTTAATGCAAATCTCTTCCACCACGTCCGTAGGTCTCGCACACGCTCCAGGACACCCAGCAGGAGGCGAAGAAGCAGGTCCCGCAGCGCATCACTGGAGCGGTCGTCCCACGGAGGCAGCCGCTCCCGACACGACTCCAAGGAGAAAACGAAGGAGTTCAAGGAAGATAAACAATCCCAGAATTTGGTGAGCACTCCAGTAATCGTCGGGGAGCTTGAATGGCAGTGTCGAGATAACACATGCTGGAACATGTTAAGCCAAATTTTTCTGATTTCGTTCTCAATTTGTTGCGAACAACTGTGTTTCAACAAAGGGCATATGCGTTGCGTGAACATTACAGCTGCATCAGCGCCAAGCACTGTGTACAGATTTCTGTGTCATGCTGCCTTGCTTCATTTTCCCTTATCGCAATTATCTCACATCACAATGTGCATGTATTGCTGTACCCTGTTTTAGCTGGTTTGAGTGGTCTTCAAAGCATTAGTAGACCTATAACAAAATTACGTCACGCTTTGTTCACATGTGCGCTCTGTCGTGTCACTGAGATGAGACGCGAGTCATAAAGCCCCCATAGGGGAGCACACTTGTAAAACGAACTGTGACGTCATTATGTTTCAGGTCTATTATTCTTGTGTGGAGTCCACTATTGTGGTCATGCCTGATTTGGAACCTGCATAACAAATAGAGCTGTTTTTTTGTATGGTTTGTCTCAGACACCTTCGGAGTCCGTGAAACAGAAGATGCAGAAGGCATTGGAGGCGGCAGGTATGTACATGTATGTTAGAGACTATATAAGGATATGCTTCCTTGCTTTGCATCAAGGGGAAAACCTTAGCACTGATCTCTCATTGCTCTACCTGGCTCTCGCTTTGAAGAGGAATGAGATTTGGGAAATGCCCATTTTGACAATTTCACTCCTCAGTAGTGTTTTACCGACACGGCAAATATAATTTGCTCTATGCATTGAATAATATTTCCAAATAGGTCACTTGGGAGACATTTTGTGGTAAATTTTTCAATATTACGGAGACATCGGTAATGCTCCAACTACCAAAAGGAGGAAAATTTTTACCGTGCACATTTTGAGAGATGATAGATTAGGGTCTGAAAGGAAAACATGCAAAGTTTGGTTAAGATCGGATTAGGGAATATTGAATTATGGGACGGTAAAGTTTGAAAAAATTTGTGCACGTTCCTATGGGAATGTCTCCCAAGTGACCCATTTTCGGTAATTATAATAATAATGATGATAATGATGGGGACTAGCCCAGCCATTGTGACTTTAGACAGGCCTTGATGCCCTAGTTGTGTTGAAACCCCAAAATGTGCCGTCAGCTTTACTGCACTGTGTCACTGTGTAGAGTTTGCTGGCGTTTCACATTGAATGGTTCCATCACTCCACCCTTATGAACGAGGGGACTGTCTTGCTTTGGGGGAACTGTATTTGCCTGATATTTGTCATCAACCCTCGTGTGATTCAACAGCACAGATGTGCACGCATGCCAACAGTCTTTGTTGTGCATGCGTTTTCTGTATGGAACATAAATATGCACAGCTTCAATGTGTATATACATGTAGTTGGTTGCCAGCCAAAATGAGACAGGCTCTTTTGTGCAGTCCTCTTCACTGCAGTTGGTTTACTGCTCAATGATGCACATGAAACAGTGAGGCACAGTTGCTGGACAGCACAACAGTGCAGTCTGATATTCCTGTGAGGGATAGTTGGTGCACAGCACATTATGACACAGCTGTGCATCTTGTTGCTGTTTACCAACTAACCCAAAGAGCCTCTTCAGCATAGGAAAATGAGACTCCTTTGAACTGTCTTGGTTTTTCATGTATCAGTTTTCAACTTTTCTTAATTGCCAGCCTCTGCTAATGACAAATTGAAAGAGAAGGGAGTCATATCTGCCACTGTCAAGCAAGGTAAATACATAGTTGTGTCTCATTTTGAAACCGGAAATCAGTGAAACAGAAATATTGCTCTATGGTAATTCACTGAAAATGTCTCAAAATTAATACCATTTGTGAAAGAGTATTTTTATCAACAGTTTCTTAAATTACAAAACAAAGAAAACATGCTATTGCTTCTTTTCCCCTCATTCACGAGTATTTGATAGCACTTCATTGGCAAAGATCCCTGCACAAAAAGTACTAATATAAAGTCACACACTGCAACCGCTTTCCCCAGAATGTGCACAAAACCAGAGCCCACTCACATATATGTATGTGTTAAAGAATGCCCTGCTATATGACAAAGACGATAAGTGCACCAGTGACCACACATAAAATCTGCACGTAGCGTCATATTTTTGACTCCACTGCTTCAGTGGACAATCGCGTAATTAAAGCCTGTGTTGTGAATTACACACATGTAACTGCATGATTTCCTTCAATACTCAGAGCCACTCAGTTTGGCCGAGGAGCAGCAGAAACAAAAGGCAATAGCAGAGATTGAGGAGGACTCATTCAAGCCAAGCACCTTTCTGTCAGGACAGAGCACGGTGAGCAGGATTCCGTGCCCAATTGCTCAACACTGCTAATTTAACAGTTTTTGCAAGCAGAACCTGTGTTTATTTTTTAAAATCAACTGCAAATACATTCAAGAATCTTTGTGTCTTTTTAATTTCTTACAAAGAATAATTGCTACACAGAGCAGTTTTCTTTCATTAACCACTGCCTGCCAGGGATTCCAGTACCGGACATGTATGCTTTATATGTGTGGCCTGGGTCTCCGAACTCGGACAAAGGGAACTGGGCCTTGTAACAAAAGACCAGGCTGCTGGGCATTACGGACATTTTTTCACTCTCAATAGTGGAGATAATGCAGCCTTGCTTTGGAACAGTATACCACGGTTTTGGGCATTTAGAGCAAGCAGATTACCACCGGGGACAAAAGCACTCCACCACCGCAGTGATGAGCCACACAGCACCGCTGCATGCTAATTTGGCCCCTATTGAAAAGAGGTCAGTAGTGCACTGTGCCACGTTCGCGAACAAAAGAAAGTTATATAACACCGCACAATATGGGCTCTTTTTACAAAGCTGCAGGCCTGGCTGGAATACTCAGGAGTCAACAGATTTTGTCTGTCAGACAAGAGTGGAGACCAGACAATTCTTTGTGTGGGTATAAGTGTCCAGTAAATGAAGATAGGAATTTTTAAAGAATTTTGAAAACAGGAAAAAAATGATAAATATCCCGCTCCAGCATCATCATCATTGATAACTGCCCCCAGCAGGAAGTGGTTAGTACTCAGTGACAAGGCCTCCAGTAATCTTCTGCAAACGTCCATATTTCTTTTCTGACGCACTCTTGTCACTCCACTTCATTTGTTGCTCCACTGCCAGGCCCGACCTCTACCCGCCAAACTGACCAAAGAGCAGAACCATGACAATGCCATATTTGGCAGCGCAGCCGTCTCGGTGGCTGGTCTGAACCAGGCCTCCTTCAAGCGGAACCAAACCATTTTCTACAAGACTGTCAACAGGGGAGAACTGGCCAGTTCACTGGTAAGGTGGATTTTAGATAATCCCCAAGGCCGTTAGCTTATGAACCACAGAATCGTTATTACTGCCCAGGCGGATTCTCCTTATTGAATATGCCTGTGTGACGCGTCTTGAGGACGGACTATCCATGTTAACTACTTGATCAATTGGATCAATTGTTCCTCTTCGATGGAGACCCCACCTTGTGTGACGAGCACAGGCACAATCTCGCAGCTGCAGCGATTTTGTGGATGGCCGCATACTTTTCTGAGTCGCCCTTCACCACAGTTAAATTGGGTTAACAACAGATGCAGTGCTGTCATGCGTAATCCTGGGTGTGGGCACAATCAGGGAATATGTGAAACAGTGTAGGTAACGGAAACTCTACGTAAAGCTGATTGGTTTGAAATATCACCATTTTTGTCTGTGTCTTTTTTGGGGGAAACCCTATTTGTGTGTTCATGTACATGTACATTAATATTTTGATGCAATTAAAGCTTTGCGTGTGTTGCATCTGACGAAATTGTCATGCAGATTGATGAGCAAGTTTCCCCGAGTTGCATACCGTACGCATCCCATATACTTACCACCTCTGATAATATTTCAAGGGTACCACGCGCTGACCAAATGCCAGCGTTCATCGAGGCATGTGGCCTCTGTGATCTGTCAGCCAGTCGCTTACAGCCACAATTATACAGTTGAACCTGGTCAATATACAAGGGCTCCTTTGGACTTTGCCGATTACATACAACAGGAACCTTGTACTATCAGGAATTAAAAGAATGCTGAATAAAGGATTGGGACCTGAAAATTTCCTTGTTATTAGCAGAATGTTGTATCCAAAGTGCTCTTATTGACGAGGTTTGACTGTAAGTTCTTGCAGCTCCATCTCAGTATAAAGTGAATAATTGTCTTTACCACGCAACATTTTATATATGTATCATTTCGTGCATCAGCCTATAAAGAGAGACTCTATAGAAACATTTAATTTTGGGGGAGGAATCTGGTATCATTTATCCTTTTATCCGAATACCATTTTTGTTTGTGAGCAGTTGGCCAAAACCTCCAAGGAGAAGATGGATGCATGGATTGCCAAGCTGGCGAAGATGCGAGAGGAAAAGATCAAATCCAACCCAGAATACTTCAAGAAGTTTCTGACCATCGGCACGGATGACTCGTGGGACTAAGACACTGTTGTTAGCTTCGATTTAATTCTGAGACGTGCTGATCAACGATTACGGAACTCGGCTGGAGACCAATCAAATGGTCAAGTCATCAAGCAATCAACTACGAATCTGCTGGCCTGCTGTCCATCCATGGTGTACATGCATGCTTTAGTTGTTGAAATAACTGAGGAGCTGCAGTTAAAAGCAGTCATTGCGCCATTTGCCAACTCGACTCTGGACAACTTGACTGTTGAGGCAACTCGACCGTCCATGCGTAAAAGGCAGAGACAAGTCGACCGTTGAGACAAGTCGTCCGTTGGGACGCTGTCCGCTCCGCCCAGTCGTCTGCTGAGGCCACGGTGTGAAATACTATGCCTTAATAGTGGGATGGAATTTCATGGAGTAGATAGACAAGCCCAATTTCTGAGGTATTATAAAAAAGGTTGCCGTAGTAAGTCAATCTTTGCGCAATCAGTCGATCTTTTACCCGCGCTGACCCAGCTACATATAGCATGCCTCGTTCTGGATCGCTTAAAAAAAATCTCCTTTGTGTTGTCTTTTAGTTCTACATTTTAGACTGGTTCTAGTTAAAAGGTGAAATGTAAGCTTCTTGTTGAACAAAACCTGTTCTAGGAAATTTAGAAAAGAAATTTTGGCCAAATTTCTGATTCACACTTTTCTACATTCGAGTTGCCTCCCTGTCAAAGTCGAGTTGTCCTAAGGGGCGACTTGGCAAACGGTCCACTTGTCTCAACGGTCGAGTTTGGCAAACGGTCAAGTTGTCCGACATCCATTGCGCCACTGCCCCCAGAACTCCCACGAGGAAGCAGACGTCGAACCCCACAGTTCTAGGGGTACTGCGCCACATGGTCTGCCTACCGTATATGTACGTGTAAATATAGTAATGTGCACAACTGCTGAATCAGGGGTTATCCATTTTTGTTGTCTTCTTCACGGGTGTACAGAACACACTGATCATTCCTCTTCCCACTCCCCCTTCCAAAAGCATACGCAAGAAAAGGCCGATTGCCGATCGGCCTTATTTTAAGTTTGTGAAAGTGTACACCAGGCTGTCCATAATTTGTACATGTACATGGCGAATATAACGGACAACGGAAACGTTTACCCTGCGTCCAGTGATTCTTAAAATACCCCTGGTAAACTTTCGTCAATACTGTTGCACACCTATGGGAGAATTTGCGAATTGTCATTGTATTATGCACAGTGAAAAGAAAATCTGTTTATTTGTGAATGATGAAACCGATTGCTGTACCTGCGCACCCGATCTGACTTCCCAGCGCTATTTACAAACGAGGCTTTTACAGAGAAAAGCCCCTATTCGGATTTGGGCTTAAAATAAATTATTATTAGCGGGACCTATAATTAAATATTGCCTGAATCACGTGACAAGCTTCAGCGTCATTGTGCGCATGAGTCTTTGGCACAAAAGAACGAAAAACGAAGTCCGGTCGAGCTGATATGCGTAGTGTATTGGTAAGGAAAAGAATTTATCCGTGGATCCGATTCGTACGTGTGACGTCACTTCAGTTTAAACCACGCCAACTGCACACGCACTGCACATAGAGTTACATGCATTGATTGCCGTTTACATGAAACCGGAAGTTAACGCGCAACTTCAGCGATCGTCCAATGGGAGCCTGCAAATCGTGGCGCGTCCGCCTGTTTGACCAAGGCCTTTACGAACCGAATAGTATTGTGGGTGTTCTTGGTTCGAATCCTACCAGGGATATTTTCCTTTTACTTTGAGCTTCCTGCCTGTTGGGAAATATTAGTTCTGAAAGATTATTAAATTTTACTACCCAAATTTGCAGCCTCCTAAAATTTATTTTATTAATAAGGACAAAACCTCCCTTCAACTAATTCTCGATCAGATAATTTACACGTATACCTGTAATGATATTTCAGACCCATCCCGAACTGATGCTCTTCTTTTGAAAGCCACGTTTGTTAACAGCGATGGGTTGCCAGGGCGGGTCTTCTGCGACCTGTGCAAAGCTATCCATCAGGCTCCGAACCTTTTATCCCGCAAATATGATTTTTAATCTTCGATCACATTTGGACATGTCCATTCAGACCGCGTATCACTATTAATATGCCACTTTGTTGTAACCTCCGGTTATGCATCAGATCGCCTTGACGGCATTTTAGCTTTTGTCATGTGAAGGACAAGGTAATGCCGTTTCTGCCATTACCGGCTTTTGACATTGAGGCACTTGAATCGAGCACACCTGCGCTGCAGTCATCAGCGCAGTGGGCTTCTCTCAGCCAGCTGTCGGCAGGCAGTCTCTGTAATTAACCTTCAACCTTTTTTTAAAATCACTGTGGAGATAATATCCAGAGGCTCAGGCAAAACAGGTACATTAAATGAATGTACAACATATCGCCACCGCGCCATCTAATAGAAATGTGCCCCGGTTTTCATGGATCATCCACCTCGAGCAACCTCGGTTGAAAAGAGACGCATTGGTCGGGAGTGTTCATTTCGTTGGCAGCGACGCGGCTTCAACGCTAGCCTTTGATCAAGAAGCCCGCGGCGAAATGGACAGTCGCTCAAGAGCGAGGAGCTGGATGAGACTAGTTTAAGCTCCAAACCAACGCATGAAGAAAGACTACACGACGAACCGCACGCACGCCGCGCCCCGCACGCCTTTGGAGCTCTGCCCCACGTAGCCGATGTTTTCCTTTACATTTGCTACCGTTTGGATAGCAGATACGATATCTGTGTATGCATAAGTCTCCACCGTACCAATCAAAACGATCGCCTCTGTTGTGCATGTAATAAATTATTCATTATTACAATGAATGGCGCACGTATTTAACACGGCGTCCGGCAGTCGTGTAAGCTCTAGACGACAATCTCTTCCAGAATTGCCTCAAATATGCAGCACAGAATCTTGGGATTCCGATCGACAAATTGAAACCACAGCAAATGTTGGCCGTGAAGGCTGTTCTGGAGTGTCAAGACGTATTTGTCAATCTTCTAACTGGATATGGCAAAAGTATCAAATACCAGGCCGCACCGTTGTGCAGCGACTTCATGAACGGAACTAGCCCAGACGTGCTTGCACTACTTAACCCCCAAAACACGATTGGTTCAGAGAAATGTGAATAACTCGTAACATTAGGAAATTGAATAATTCAGATAAACCACTGGAAACAAACATCATGTCCGAAACGGGCTTCCAGAGCTACGACTAGGTCTATCGTCTACGCTTCTCCACGCATTTCCAATGGGGCGAAGATCTAGACTAGCTCCAGTCAAGAGATTCGGATGCAGCCAAAGCTCCCAAGGCGCTTGCGGCAGCGCGCACAGTCCACGACACACCGTAGCTCAGCTACTGCATGCGCATGCAGGGTTAATTTTGGGCATTCTTGCAGTTCATGGTCTTGATCGACTATCCATTTCGCCACGGGTGCCTTTATCAAAGGCTATTGCAACGCCTGCGTTTAGTAATTCGTGACTGAACCAGCGACACGTGGTTAGTACCAAATTAGGTCCGCAGTTGTATAGGAAAGGGCGCCCTCTCTTGGTCCTGCTCGAGGCCTAGGCGTTGGGTGACGCTCAACCAAGGCTGTCCATCCACTGGACTGGTGTTAATAGCCTATTAATTTAAATTAAATAGAGGGACTGGTAGGTAGCTACGGTTTGACGTGTGCGATCACGGTGTGTCAGGATGTTGAATTTTTTTTTTTTCAGGCCAAAAGCCATGCTTCAACATGAAATGGATTCAGCGCGGATAAGGCGAATAAAAAGTACCCATCCTTGCTACTAAAAGTAAGCCTCTGTTGATCAAAGTGTGGTAGTTAACGTTTCAACGATTACCATCGATAAATCATTTTACGGCGATTAATTTCCAAAAATCAGTGGTTATTGTGTTAAATTTTTGATAAATGAATCATTTCTGGTGAAGTTATTTTCTGTAGCGAAGAAGAAAATATTCTGTCAGCTGCTTCTTGATTTGCGTATTGAACGGGCATGGTCACAAATTCCTTATTTACATACACACGGTAGGATTCTGCTGGATTCATTACCCGCTACTGGTCCATACGTTCGGAGGACGTTTGTAAGACGTCTGGAGACTATGTACGGAACGGGAACCAGTCTGTATCCGTCCACTCCCTGGAGTTGGGTCAACGTTTGCTCATCGCCCAGAGCCCGAACAGGGCGGGTGGGGTGGGGGGGGGGCTTATGGCCTTGCACAGATCTTAGGCTGCATCCGAATTTCTTGTCTAGAGCTAGGTCTAGGTCTTTGCTCCATTGGAAATGCGTGGGGACACGTCGACAATAGACCTAGCCATAGCTCTGGAAGCCCGTTTCCAACACGACCATAGTGAAGGAAATACACCACACGAGGTCACACGTAACGACGCGCAGAACGTTGTTGGTAATTTCTGCCAGGCGCGCGAGCTCGCTCAATGCGTTACACAAGCGGCGGTTATCAATTCGATATTTCGTTTTGTTACTAATTGCTGAAAATATTCTCATTACTCTTTATTTGTCCTCCAAAATTGATCAAGACAACCAATGATTTGAAATATATTGCCAACGGACACGTGATCAGTAATACTTAGTGAGAAGAGAAATTACCACACGTGGTGGTACCCAGGCCTTGTTTTCATCATGAAACCGACACTTTGCCCGTGTCAAAGCCTGGCCATCAGCGACCCCCCCCCAAAAAAAGAATAACGCTTCGCTAACAGGAATTGATAACCTCGCGGTCACAGGTCGTGCACAATATAGCCAATCACAGTGCAAAACCATCAGCTCTTTCGAGGGTCCTGTTCGGGGGCTGGGCGACGAGCGAAAAGCAACGCAAGCTCGTAGGAACTGCACTTTACTGGTTCACAAACGACTATGAAATGCACGCGTTACGGTCGCGCTTCCGACCAACATGGCTCTTTGCAATCGACGCGGTAGTGGTCGCAGCCATTTCCCATAGAGTTGCGCATAATTTCAAGCCGCAGCCAAGTGATTCGGACACGGCCTAGAATACCGTGCACCTTTTGTGCATGTGCGGACGCCAGCCCCATTTTTGAGACCCGGGCGGGATCGACGCTCACGCCTGGCGGTTCGAATGTAGAAACCCACATCGCCGGTCCCACACCAAGCTCCTACGAAGGCCGTGTCGGGTCGAAAATTAAGCATCTTTAAGCTGTCTTCTTTTGTTTAATTTTCTTCTGTTTAATTTTATTTCCCCCCCCTCTATTCTCATTTCTAAATCACAGCTTCGCCGGCGTCTCAAGCTTCATCCTTCATGTGGCATAATGCATTCCCTACTCTATACACAAAATGTCGCTGTCGCAAAAATGTTACTTTTTATCGAGTTTAAATCTTCTTAAATCAAGTCACAGTGTAAAAACTAGTTAGATCGACAAGCGTATTGAAGCCGAGATTTGGAGAACCCTATATTCAGGCTTCATTGAAACGTGATAATGTTGAAACGTTTAAACGTTGCCGGCAAGAGACCTAGCCGTAGCTCTGGAAGTCTGTTTTGGACACGGCCTCAGTTTGTTTTGGGGCGAACGAAATTCTACGAAAGTCTATATTTTATACGCCTAAAAGCACATTTAAACTAGAAAGTTAAACAGTTAATGAGTTATGATGATTTTAAAGGGTTTTGTAGACAAATCAAGATTTTTTTTTCAATTTTTCAGGACCTGAGACAAACTGACTGCACTGTGTATATATATCCCTGTTCATTTTCAATGAACCGCTTACACTTCCCCCCTCCATTGCCATTTATGTGCATGCGTGAATAACTATGAACGTATTGCCTCAGTGTGTCAAAATCTCTAAATGCAGGCGCGCATTGCACATGAATGACTATCCAACACCGTGAGTATGCTAAGACCTTTCAGACAGTGTCGTCTAGTTCAGTGGCCTGGCGTCCACAATAGGCCAAGGCGTGTAGGCCTAAGTCAGGGTCACCTGTTTTAATAACGCGCAAAGAGGTCCGGGCAGTGTTTTACACGCCAGCCGGCTGCGTACACCACTAATTATTTAACCCGATACCCGTACGGCCGCGCGGCGGGTTTAATCAGCCATCATCCTACACCGCAGATACAGTCACCCGTAAATGGCAAATCTGTCCATGACACCGGTGTAGTGTTTCGTTGGTTGCGGGAAGGCCGCTTATAAGTTTCAACAGTGGTTACTTATTATACTGAGCACGGACTTAGCTGTGATGTGATTGCATATTATGCGGCGCTGTGTGGAGGAACCATACTAACTGCGTGCACTTGTTCGTGTAAATATTGTCGCTCCGCGGTGAATGCTGTGGTAACCCTGTCAACCCCTCACGCCTGGCGCGTCAGCTTCATCATCACTCGAGCATCTCGGAGGCCATTCCGATGCAGACTTCAGTCGTCTGTAATTCCGCCAGGAGCTCGTGCATTCACACCCACGCTGAATAACCGTGCTACTTTTTTCATGAGTGTTTGGGGGGACAGTCGGGTCAATGGATGAAGCTCGTCGCTCGATAACAGTGCAGCGTAGGCCTACGCAGTTTGTCGTGGTTCGTCCTTACTTGACTTTCTCACGTGCGTCAATGATGTAGTTTAGCATTCTTTGCCTGTTAACCGTGTTGACAACCATGTTGCCTAAAGCTGGGTAAAGCCGGTCCAACCGACGCGCAGGTAAGTGACTTGATATCCAAGTCAAACGGAGATAGGCCTATGTAGTTTTGTGTGAAAATGCTTGCCAATTGCATCAATGGCTCGTAAGGAGAGCACCACTTACGAATGATAGCACCGTTAACGAGAGTGTGCTTTCCTCTTCTTGGATATAGTAGGCCTACACGCATCAGCGACTGCGAGTAGGTTTCAGACTGGCATTCCATCACAAAATATTAGCCACATTGCTGCCGTAGAGAGGATTGGCCCACTGGTGGATAAGCCCCGATGTATCTTTGGCTGTTTCGATACTAGGAATGGAAAATATTTATGATCGATTCAGGTCGCTTGCGTCACGTGGGCGGCAAGATATAAATATAGGCTGTATGTGCATATTTTATGGGAATCTTGCACTCGCTGCATGTGTAAAAAAATCATACCATGATTTCATTTAAACCAGACCAACACCTTTGCAGCGTATGGCGTTATGAAAACAGCCACAACTTTGAGCGCAAAGTTTTGTCCCAAATGTTTTAACCTTTTCTAAAATTGGTCATTGGAGTTTGTTGGTTTTACCTGTTAACTCACATAATACGTTTGTTTCCATTTATACACCAATTACATGCAGGAAACGTGTGTTTATTTAACAATAGTGCTGAAAAATAATAATCATAAACCACAGGGCCTGTTTATTCAGTCACTACATGTGCACTGGTTCCTGGCAACACGGTCGAGTTCCCAATCTGCTTCTTCATGGCGACATGGCCTTGGATGGCGCGTTCGTATTGTGCCGAATGTGTACATAGGGCACATTTTGACGACTTGCTTTTGTCCAAAGAACACAGGCGATTGCGTTGCTATAGAAGCGTGATGAAGCCCCAGCAAGATAGTTTATCGCTGCGATGATACGAGGCGACGATAACATTTGCTAATATGTACCTCGATGTATATTTACCGAGCTCCGCAAATATCTCTGCATGCCAGCGTGAAGACCATGCATACCTCTCTGCAATAATATTGTTGGACTGCACGGGAGTCGTGCAGGCAATTAATCTCGCCATTTCAAGGCAGAACTGACTAGCAATCTCGCTAAAATGAGGAAAAACATATACTATATCTTTTTCTTGCGCAGTAGTCAAAATCTTTGGAGGACTAAAAGTGACTGTCCGCGGCCGTATAACCATAAATAAATTTGTTTCACTCCTGCGTCGATGCTCAAGTTATTCAACTACCATGTATTAGAATCCAGCTGTACTAAGATCATCCGACACTGAAAGTAGTAATTTCTGCACTTAACATGCTTGGTAATCCTGCGCAACCTCGTTCACAAGTGAGCCACTTCCATCTCGTTCCCTGAGTCTTAAATATTTTAAACTATACCCCTTTTTCTGGGATTGGTGTTATAAAGCTCACCTCCATTTGTAAAAGTCTTTGGGCTTGAAAGATAAGGATACGTTTAATCAACAATTCTAAATTAGTTAATTTAAATTAATTTTGAATCTATTCACCTTCATATTAGACAGGTATTACTTCGCCACGAATTTTCTCTTACTGCTTTCATTTTTCTGCGAAGTTCCAAAAGTCAAGAGTTAACCTTGTTTTTAATTTAGTCTAGCTGACTCTTGAAAAAAGTCTGTGCGGCTATCCCATGCGTACAGCAATATTATGCCGTTTCATGGACAGCTTTCAGTGGTTGAAATTCTTTTAAATCGTGATCATTTGTACAGGGATGGACTGTTTAAATGATCCTTTCTGAATCATGGGAAATTGAAACGCGTCATGGCTGCGAGCTGTTCAGTAGCAGCTGCTTTCTTTGGCGCATGCGCAGTTTTCCAGCATGCCGCCATAATTTTCAGTGACGGCTGATGTACAGATCTGCCACAAAGGCAGTTTTATGCACTACACAGTGAAGTGCTGTTTGCAAGTAGTGAGTATCCATGACGAGATGCAAAATATATCTGATTGTCCGTACGTACAGACACAAGCATAAAACAATTTACCAAAACAAAAACCAAAAAAAAACCCGAAGAAAAGAAACCCAGCCCAAAGCAACCAAAGCGAACGATATATAACCTCCCAAAGTAAGCCAGATTGCCCAAAATTAAGGGCGTTATGAAAGGTTACAACTAGGCCATAAGCGCACTCACTAATAGCAAGAAAACAATAAAGCCGTAATAATCTCGCATTCAGACACGACCCAGCTCTTGGTGACTTTGAAGATTGATAAGGGCATATTATAACTGTCACCAAAATACCATAAATTGAATATTCCGTGGTGATAGCTCAGTGTGATTCATGTAGTGGTGCGAGGGTGTACCGTTACAACCTCATCCGAGTCTCGAGATTTTGTTCTCTAGGCGGTGATTGAAAAATCCACGCGCATAAATTTGTGTAACTCACACCCCCAATGCACTCCGACAGCCAGTAGTGCAGGACACAGCGTGTATGAGAGGAATTTGATTTAATCAGAGGTAAGTGATGCGTAAACAGCGGTTTTTTCAACCAATCACTGTCTCAACCGCCCTCATGTGCAAGCGAGAGGGTCGATATGAGATAGGAAGCCATGTAGCCAGACTTACCATTAAAAAAAGAGATTCCGCAGAAGTTTCAGTTGCTATCTACATTTATTCAAGGCATTCTGCTTGGACATGAGATATTCCAGTTTTAATGAAGCAAGGCACAACGCGATGACGGTGCGATGTTGTGGAACTGTATATTCAACATACACTAAAAGCATTAAGCCCGGCATTTAGTTTTGCCCTTAAGCTTTCTTTTAAAAATAAAGGCTTCAGAATTTATTTGGGTACAATCACAACGATTTAGCCGCTCGACTCGCGCACTATAGGCCTATACAGAATTATAGATTAGGTGAGGGCATCTGAGTTTGTTTTCCAGCGTTGCGAGAATACTTGTGCAGAGAATCGAATTATGAAACTTTGGATAAAAAGCTTGATTGAAAATCGAAAAAAAAATGACTGCACCCGTCTTTCACCAGCACGTCAACACGGAGACGAGGCAGGGAGATTATCAATGCGTCAGATCTGTTGGGGGAAAAAAGTTCTATGGAAGATGTTCTCATGGTAAAGAGATAAAAGGAAGGGAAGCATATTTCATATAGCGCCCCAGCAGGGATTAAACTCACGTCTGCAGATGAGAGGTAAAGCAAGTTCATCCACCTTTTGGTTGCAATCGGAAAAGTAGTGATTGGTGTCCTTGGGTAAACATGTACCTCAATTTCATCTTCCCGGGAAGGTGCGATAGCATTGTTAATGAATTGAGAACGATGTAAAATGTGAGGCCTGTGCTGAGAACGTGGTAATTGTGTCAATCGCCAAATGACAATGACTTCTAAAAACAAATAACCCCCCCAGAAAAAATTGAAAGCGAAGCTTAAAAATGAAAAGGTAAAAATAAAAACACAGCTAGGGTTTAGCCACGGATTTGAACAAATGCTTCACAAGCACCTGTACATTTCTTATTGATGATTACTTCCTTGTGCTCAGATACAACATTTTTGCCTATACATTGTATAAATAGGTGGTTAATTGTTCAGCAAGCGGGTTACCGATGTCTTATTCCTTTTTGACAGTGTTTCTGTTTAATTGGGTTTGAGATTAGTTGGTAACCTCAAGTAATTATATACCATGTGACATTGAGTTTATTAAGACTTCCATACTTAATTTGCACTAAAACGATGAGTAAAGAGATGGGAAGGGTGCATGTAAGGAGATGTTATGTTCAGAAAGTAAGTTTTTGCCCATCTTTAAGACTTGAAATCTGCTTTTAGTCTCTTCGCGTAATTCAATTATCGTAAAACCACTTAGGTCTGTCTCCAGGCTTTCCAAATTGCTGGACAATTACATCTTTTCCACTAGAAAGTCAGGTCTTGCGCTGAAGAAGTCCCTCAAGTTGAGGATAGATCACACCGTCACAACGCTGGAACCGCCAGTCTATCATTTTATTGCATCCTCCAAACACTCGCTCCGTGAATCTTCGTCGGCTGAAAAGTCAGGCAACGTGCGCGCATGCGTCATCAGGCCTTGGCAACGGGCCCATTGTGGATGTTTCTTATCCATGAGAACAATGCGCGCAGGGAGACAGCACTAATCACATCTCAAAGGAAGACACTGTTGTATACATGGCGTGTTTGGATGCTGTTTTGTAACGTTGCTGCTGTGTGCACCCAGTTAGTAAGCGGCAAGGGCGGGCCGCTGTATGCATATGTGCCGGTGAAGTTGCATCGAGAGTTCCGGACAGAAATAAATTGAGTTTACGAGACTGCTTGACCATAAAATCTTGAATGTTATGCGCTTCTGATGAAGAAAAGGTAGGATTTGCACTGCTGTTTTAAGATGTACAGCCTCAAGAAACCACTCTTGTATTGATTAAAGAAGTCTGTCGAAATATTAACTTATTGGGATGTACGTATCGACAACTGTGTAGGCAATAATGTAGTGGCGATTCTTCGCATGACGTCTAGTATGGCAGCCCAATTTCACGCAGTGTTTGGTGATTCTTTTGGTCAGGGCATTATTAGGCCTACATGTTTGTTAGATCTAACGTAAAAATTAATAATAATTATCAAAACAGATGTGGGCAATGTAGGCCTGCGAGAAAGGCATGGAAGTGGATCTCTAACATACCTCATGAGAATGCATTTTAGTGACCATTTTGTGAATTGGCAGGGAAAGGGTGGCTTCCCCAAAACGAAACTTGTCATCCTATGTTTTTGAAGGAAAGATTGCACGGATAACCTACTGAACAGTTCGCTTATGAAATTGTAATTATTCACACACTCTACAATAGAATACACTAAGTTAAGTAATATTGCACACGGGGCGGCCAGGGCATCGTCGTAGGCGTATAAGCTCTCGGTATGTATTATGGATGTCTCAACCAAACAGAACTGTTATAGTTGTGGAAACTTTCTGTCGATATTTTTGCAATTCAGTGAGAACAGCACTGTGAAAATGTACTTCATCTCTGCATCTTCTCTGAATTCGAAGCTCACGGAGCTGTCGTGTTATGAGAATGAATACAAAAACATCATGCCTGCATTCCCGTCTAATCTCAAGTTCATGTAACGACACTTCGACAGTCAATTATACGAGCAAAGGCTTTCAGTTGAAAATAGGCCCTACTGGAATATGGGGATCGTGCATCATCGTAGAGTTATGAAGACTAGAGAAACCTGGATGTTTTATCGCCTCATTAAATGACTTTTTTGCCAGCATCTAAGCCCATGGTAAGATTTTTTTTCTGAGCATTACATTTTGATTGTTTACTGGAGCAGCAGTTAATGCAGCTGAAGCCAATAGTTATGAAACTTCCAATTTTGTTTTGAAAATCGAGCTTAAATAAAACAAAATGAAATTAATTTGAAATCAGTCTGCTTGAATTTTAAATCCACTTGATATTAAGGGAATTTTTAAACTTTGTGCGATAAATTTACTTAATGCTAGTATCATGCATTTGCTCTCGATTTTTCGATTCACGGTGCAACTAACGAGTCGTGTAAGGAATGTGGACTTTACATTTTCTAAGTTTGACGTTATGACAGCAAATCCAAATATTTACACGAAAGAACGTCTTTTTTGCAACTCAGTCAAATGATTTATAGCGTGCATGATGAAGGTGCAAATGCTCTGTCGCTTACATTGTGCAATGAAAAGTCTAGCTTAATAATATAATGGAACTGACAGAATGATTTTTGTTAGAAACAACTCAAATAAAAAAGGTAAGGCAGGGCTTTTTCATGCAAGATCGTCACGCACACGATTTTTTATATATAATTTAAGTAAAGCAAAATGTTTCCTTGGGGCCATTACGTGATTTGTATTTGACGTGATTCTACACGACACAGCAGCAGTAAGTGAATATACCCTCTTCGTCGATTTACCATTTGGATGTTTCAGTCTGATATGGACCTTTCAGGATCAGAACTCAAGCTTCCCTCGAAAGGCTCAGTCGTATTAATGAAGGCTACGGATGCAAAGTGCCCCCTTATCTGGTCTTTGGAACCATTAACGAACAGCGGGGACTCTTAAGAAAATGGAAGATAAATGGCACAATAGGAGAGGAGCCTGAATCCGTCCGTATACATAAATGGAAATTCTGGATAGAACTGATGTAAGAGCTTTATACGCAATTGTAAAGAGTTGAAGGAGAGGCTTGCTGGTTTTGTTTTTTTCATGAGGGAATAGTTTCATGCATCTTTCCAGAATCTAAAATGTTTAATAAAAAAACCTTAGACAAGCCTTCACCTGGCAGAACACAGGACTGTACATTATTTTGTTCACAGTGGGTCAAGAAAAGCTGAGAAAAAAATTGTTCCTTTCCAGACATAATCTTTAAATGTTGCTATAGGTCCTGTCAATGTATTTTTTTCAGAAGCATTGGTAATCACCATACGCATATAATATATAATATTATCTTAAAAACAGGAAAGAATTTAATTGACAGTAAACAGATTTTCTTGTAACAATTTTGCAGGAGAATGGTTGATTTGGCTATGGGGCTTTTATTCTAGATTTTCTTTTCCTGTGTTTTGTTGTATCGAGTCAAGTGTCTTGTGGTTGTATATTTGTTTCTGCTGAAACAAATAATGTATGAAAATGTATGTGTGTTTGCAAAATTAAGACACGAACGGTAGCTCTTTCTTTTTTCTTATCCTCGCACCGAGACAAATTATCTACCAACAGTTTTTTTCTACGTTGGTCAAATTATCTGCTGCCTGAGACATTCTTGATAACTCTTCCGAAAAACGTCTCAAACTGTTTACTCGAATGAAGCAGCAGCCGAGGTTATTTCATACCGTCTGTCGGGCAGATTAAAAAGGGTTGACCATTTTCATATCAAATTATTTTTCATTACATTGCCCCTTGGAACAAATATAGACAACGTGCATTGCATAAGGATCCTCATATGTGGCATTGAACAGCCCGTTTTAATGTACGGTAGAAATACGGATAAACTTGCGACCACAACGTATAATAAAGGAGACCATGCAATGGGATACACAACACTGGCACTTTGTAGCCTGTGATATTAATTGAGCATATCAAAAATTAAGTCGTATGAGAAAAGAGGAAATCAACTAACACTCCCGAAATTCAAACTTGCAGTTTTTTTACAGAATTCAGTCATAAAGTACCGAGAGCCGTCCATATGGTGTATAATTATAAGCTCGAAGTGAATGTTTTGTATTAGCTTTGTATACTAGTCAGAGCTTCGTTCTGTTTAAGTTGTTCTGTGATTTCCATATTGTTCTCGTAAACGTCATGTTTAGAACACCCCTCGTACACATTTTTCTCCCAAATCATCTGAACATTTTAAATCATCATTTGCAGCCTTCTGCTGATGTTTTATAGTCATTTGGACACTTTTGTTAATTGAAAATGGCTACACGATTCTTCAGTTGTTTGTAAATGTCTAGCTTTTTTCGGACGCAGGTAGGCCCAAGGTGCAAAAGATTTCTGACCTTACTTTGCGGATTGCGCCAATTTACAATAACGGATAAAACTGGATCAACATAATATTTTAGCAACAGGCTACATGGACGGATCAGGCGAAACTCCGAAGTTCTGAAGAGGTGCAGAATACTCCCTCCCCTACCCCTTGCCAAAAGGTCTAAGGCGGTTCTCGTGGGGTTAAAGGGATTGTTCCTTTTTGGGGAGAAAACTTCGAAATTCACCGTAAAACCACAGAGCCTGCCTTAATAGACCGTTCTTTTGATTTCCTTTTTATAACCTAATATTCAATTTATAGGGGATAAAGGAAGTCTCCGAAATTCTCCATTAAAAAAAATCTGAACGCCGTTCCACAAATCATCGTGAGAATTGATGTCGGTGAATTAAATTCAAAATATTTCAAATTTTGCTCTTGGCCGCAGTGATTACCAAGCATCGATGTTGAAAAGTGAGAAGCTCCTAAAATGCAGTGCGTGAAGAGCATAAGACACTTTGGCATTCCAACAGGGCATGCCCAGTACGAGGCTATTTGGGAACAGATACGCGCGCCTGCGCGCGACAGTCTGTCCTATCAGCGCAGCCATACGCTGACTAGGGCACGCACTTTGTTCCCGAAGTGGCTCGTTGTGCGTACAAAATGAAGGAAAACACCGAGCACATTTTTCTTTTTAAACTTCAATGCCGTTTCTTATATTTAGACGCTGCGCTGTTTTAGAAAAACGCACATTGTTTTCAAAATTTCGCGCACGCGTACCACAGTGCGCATTTCTTGAGCCATTCCAACGCTGGCATGGTGACAGAACACAAGACAACACGCTCCCGTTGATGACAAACAGCCTAGCCTGGAGAAGACCATTTCAAACAAAAAAAACTAAAGCCTGGATTGACAGAAGGCAGAATGGCAACGTAACTTCATCACCACTTCACCGGGTTGAAGTGGTGGTTCGTGGAGGAAAACAGCGAATGGGTCAGGTAGGGTTAGGGAGAGTTACAAATAAGAGGGCCTTGGGCACCATGCAGACCTACGGACCGGCATGTAACTGCTGTTGGCGTAAGAATCTAATTACATGCCTTACCGAAAATCACGATTTGTGCTGGATACCATGTCCAATCAGGCTTGTCGCATGCGCTATAAACCAGTGCCGCCGCGTGTATTGTGGCAGCAAACTGAGTCCATTGATTATGATGCCATCGAGGCTATTGTATTAGGCATAATACTGCTTATTGCATGGAAGGTGTTTGACGTCGAAGAAGCAAAGCCAAACAAAGGGACATAATTAAGACGTTTACTTCGCTTGCTGTCTCCATGTGGATAATTAATGATAATGAAATCATTGGGGATTCTGCCTGCAGCTAGTAGGCTTAGGCTCATGTAGCACTCAGGGCTGAACGTGCTCACATTCATGGTAATGTGCCTTCTAAGCAAGTCTGCCATCACAAAAATATTGCTTTGTAGCGTACACAATCTAACAAAATAAATTATAATTCAGACTAAAGCGACGGGAACATCCAGACGTGGCCGTTGCCGAGTACCAGCATAATGTTTTTATACATAGGGCCTATATGCTTTTTTTAAACATTGAAAAAGGGAATATCTAAACATAATATATGTATATATTTTTTCAATGTTTAGATGCTTAAAAAGCAAGAAAAATCTTTTCTATGTTTTTCCTTCGAGAAAGTCTACTTTAAAAGAAACTGGGCTTTCTGTTCAAATAAGAACTGTTGATTTCATTATTTCTTCAGACCCTTGACAATTTTCAATTCCAAAAAAATTCAATTGTTTCTTAAATAATAGTTTATAGGTAAATGCGTTTTTACCTTTTTATGGATAAGATTGACTTTGGAATCGAAGCTCTTCTTCCCATCATTCTGTCTACGACAACTTTTTTTTCTTATTTCACACATTCTTTCTCAACTCTATTTCAGGGACATTCTCTGATATCAAATATCTCTTTTTGACATATTATATTTTAATTACTGTACCGGAAATTCTAACTGTCTAACCTTTCTTCAGTGAAACAAAACGATCTAAAAAGCACAAGTTAACGCCCTGTTAGCATTCAACCTATTTATTTTGCGCTTATATCTCACCATAACTGATAAAGTAATTTCATATTCAACTTACCCTGTCTACATGATTATGTACCAAGCTATAAGAAGCCCCGCTTTTCCCCCCACGGGACGGGATCCCCTTGTTAACTTAATTGAAACAGGGACTTTAAAAATGCTCCCCACAAACAACGTCCGACCTTTTTTTTAGGGGGGGGGGAGCGGTGCTCAAAATATCATATTTGAAAGAGTGTCCAGGCCGCAGATGGAAAGTAAATCTAATGCAGCTCTCACCAGCGTGTAAACGTCTGTTGGGCCGAGGCTAGTGGTGAAACCAAATTGATGTCTTGTGTCATAATAATGTTACAAAACAACCCCCCCATGACCGACAATATATATATGCACTTTCTTTGATTTAAAAAAAAATTAGATACACGAACTAAGTCCGAAAAAGAGGAAGTTTGGAACACAAATCAATTACATAACTCAGAGCACTTACATGTACATAAATTACATTAGGCAATTACATAGCTCAGAGCACTGATTATTTGCCTCTATTCTGATCACGGTGATACGGAGCCCTTTCATGTTACACACATCATGGATGTGTGCATACATACAGACTAAATTTACTCAAGATTAAAGTAAATCAAGAGAAGAGTAAATTTTCCCCTTTGTTTCACCGCCAGCTCATTTATCACTGGTACGTTTGATTCATTCCCATGCTTTAATAGATAGTAGGTTTGTGGTAGCACCATGGACGTATCTCTTTTGTGAGTATTTGCGGTTCTGAAGACCTTCAAGACTTATCATTCTGATGCTGATATTTTTAACAGGTTCCGCTGGCTGCCAAGGGTCGGCCTTAAACTGCTGACTGGCAAAGATTCATCTCCGCAGTGTACAGATATTGAAGTGTTCTAATTTTTTGCAGCTTTCTTTACTCATCAGTAATGGAAACTAAGGGGCTCTACCCGTGCTTAGCATCGACACAGGCCGCCGGTTGCTGCCGGAGGACGATACCCAGGACCATGGGGGCGAGACGGCACAGGAGGAGGCCCAGCGCTCGTTGGGTCATCCGGACGGGCCTCCTCTTGGGGGTATTTGCTGTTTCCACACTCTACTTTGTGGCCTTCGGCAGGGGCTCAATCAGCGATGAGGCTGCAGGTAAGATGCTCTTAATATCAAATTTGCGCCGAATCCACTCCTTGTGTTGCCTAATCCATCGCAGAGTCGAAAGATTTCTTGGTCTCGGTCTCAGGGTTAGCAAAATGGCCGCATATCTTTCTCACCGACGTTACCGTTATTTGGAGCTCTAAAATTCATTCGTATCTTCACATTTTGTTTTTCAATTGAGAGGGCAATTACAAGCGGTTGCTACCATGTTATATCTCTTTCACGTCGGGGATTTCAAGCGAGTCAAAGGCAAGGTATAAAAAGCAGGATCATTGCCTTTTCATTTTGCTCGGTATTTTGTGAAGATTCATTCGTTATCTTCTCAATATTTGTAACCTTATTGGATTTTTTCCGGCCATCTTTGTCATTGAGGCAAACAAACATTACTGTATGGCTATTCACCAAAAGAAGCGTTACATGCCAAATGTTATTGGTTCATGAAAAGCATGTTGTTGCTTGCCGCCCATGCATCCCACTAAGACAAGAGTCCTGCGGACTCAGTTTTGACAAGGCCATTCTATGTTCCCGATGCCACGGCAATACACCATTGCCAATTTCTGCAATTTAAATACAGCCTGGCCAACCACCATGTCACAGCGCCTCCTGTATACATTGTATCGAGTAAAGTGACAGTTTTAAGTGGAAATGAATTTAAAGAGGAAAATCGCTTTCTCAGCTTTAAGTAACGACGGTTTAAATGAAAGCTGAACAAAATAACACCCTGGAGATTAATGCTTGGAAGAAAGTATCTAAGAAAAAAATGTAGGTTATGGAGAAATCTTTCCAAATGTACGGGCAACACAAGTAACTCGAACTGCTAACCGATAACTAGTGCGCTGCAAAAAGGAAACAGTTATTGAAATAACACTAAGCAGGAAGGCAAGGATGAATCTAATTAAAAGCATATAGACCCGGAGGTCCGACTCCCTTCAAGAGGGCATGCATGATCAAACACGTAAAAATTATGGCTATAGAGAGAGGACTAGAATTATGCGTCGCCATAACAACGAAGAACAACCAGCCGCGAATGCCGTGATTATTTATCATGCTTGTTTGTTGACGGTGCGTGGTGTCCTATACTACCTTTGATGATTCGTTGGCGGTCTGTTCGCTGGTTTGCCTTTCTTCTCTCCGCCGATAATCGGATCGATTTCTGCTCATCCCCTTCACTGTTCGCGCCTTAATTCCTCGGGGCAGATCAGCCTTTACATCGTTATACCAGCATACCGCCTTGGTGCAAGTCGTGCGGCAGAGAGATTACGAGAAACGACTGTGGGATAGGCCTCTAGACGGGACACAGTCACACCATCCAAGGAGAGAGGACATCGATCGTACAGTTGTAGGGCCATTCTCATTGTCGTCTTGTTCAATTCAGTGATGGTTCACGCCGGTCGCTAAACGGCTGTTTTCACATCCAACTGTAATAACCGCAACATTAATAAGAAAGCAACTGTTCCTCAAAAAAGGCAAAATGGAACTGATGTAAGGTACGATATCCATGCATTTTTTACTAAAGGCATGCGCCCCCCCCCAAAAAAAATCCAGCGCATAACAATAAATGTTTGATCATCAGTACCGTAGAAAATGCAGTGAATCCGTTCGGAATCAACGCAGAATCTTGCCCCCCCCCTAAAAATAAATAAGTCGTGATCAGATCTCAGCTCACAGAACAGCCGTCGGAAAGACAGCTTTGTTCGTGATCATGTAGCCTGGTAAATCCTTTTGTGAAGTGGGTTTTTCCGTGACCGCTTCTAACAAAAAGGATTCGATCGCGGAAGACCTTCGTTGGGCACTTGAGGCAGGGTTCTCTTTTCAATTCCCATATAACGGTACGGGAGAGGATTACAAAATTTATCCTCAGCTTACGTTAAATAACTTGAGATAATGAAGTGTCCCCGCCACCGGGGAGCAAGTCTGTCTTCCACTTAACTCATTCTCACCCACTGGTAGTGGGTCTGGGGACAAGATTTTATAATTATTTCTTCTGCGACTGAGCCATCAGCCTATAGGTTCGCTATATCTAAGGAAAGTGACCAAACGTGGATTTTAGAGCTTTGTTTGGTTTTTGTTTGTTTATTCGTTTTTTCAAGGATACAATGCAACTAGGCAAAATACGTGTAGTTCTATCTTCCAACGGCTGTCACGTCAACATCACACAGTGATAAATTCCACTTCACTGCTTGTACAGCGGGGATGCATTTAGAGGGTTTCAAAACACTTGAACGTGTCCACGTATTTTGTCTGAACATTAGAACTCTCACTCTCAGTCTGACAATCTTGTCTCTGGCCTTTGTACAGTTTTAAGGAGTTGCCGTCATGGGAAATGGTAGTTTGTAGAAATGTACATGTGCGGGACGGTGTGAAATGTTCGAGTCCACCCGTAAACCTCACTGGACAGTGTGGTAGAGTAGGCCCTGTGGATCAAGTCTCAGAACCAAGGCGATGCTGGCTGATCGCTACTGCATTATAATGGGTACATATAGGCCTATATAGCAGTTTGGACTCGTAAAGTTTGAGACTTGGGCCGTTTTCCAATACTCAATTCGTCTCCGTCTCATGCTTCGTGTAGGTAACCAATCCGTGATTGTGGGCCTGAAGCGTTTAACTTAAATTGAAGTACAGTAACTTTTGGCTCTTTTGCATCTTACTTGGTGTTTTATGGCATTACCAGACTTACTACTGCGCTTATAACCTCCAAGTCAGGAAGTAAAAAAAAAACCGTTGAAGCCTGAGACTGAGCCTAATCGAGTATTGGAAAACTGCCTTGGATTTCGAGGAATGTCCAATTATCGGCCATTTTGTACTTGACATTTGGAAAGCCCTGTTCACGAAGTCTCGGACTCATCTCAAAAGCCCAAACATCAGACTATATTGCCTTGTTTTCAAGGCTCACTCCCCATTAGTAAATATATATATAAAAAAGGCTTCCGAAGACTTAAAAAAGACTTTAAAAAGAAATCAAACTGGCTTGAAGCTTTTTTGACTTATATTTCAAACCCATGTCAGCATAACGTGAATTAATACGGCTGCATTTTTCTGCATGTTAAATCTTAACGTGAAAAAAAGTGAACGGGACTTCAATTCTACTGAGCCGGGAACATTAATCTCAACTCTTGTTTGTTTTGTTTTGTTTTTTACTGTGGCCGACAGGCCGAGACTACTGTTTTCTCGTGTGCACAAAACTGTTTTCTAGGCCGTCAGACCTCTTCCTGTGTCATATTCACCTGTGCTATTGTAGTATGAAATTCGATTTCCATTCAATACTGTCTCGCGGACCTTACTGCGCACGGCCTAGTGGACAGAGCAATTTCAACTGGGAGGAATGTGGAAGGCTGGGAGTTTATACGAGCAATAAGGACCAGATGACATGGGGCCAAATCTCATATAACACCTGCACCAAAATGTAAAAATGCCAACGAAGGCAAGAAAACACTGTGTTATGTCGCACACTCCGTGTTTCGGACAAATTGAGGTCCCAACGTGTACATTATGTGCACCTCATTCTTTACACAAGATTTTAATTACCGACATCAAATATTTACTAATAAAAATCGAGCGCTAGGCCTACGGGGAAATTGAAAGTGATGTAAAGCTCAGGAACCTGCAAGTGTGTGAGTGGTCCCATTGTCTGTTAGTATATAAATCATGGATTTTTATGATAGTAACGTAAGAATAGTTTCACGAGATGAGAGATGAAAATGGTGCATTTCTCGAGGCGAGACCGAGTGAGAACAGTTGTCTGCCACCAAATGAAATTATTCTTATCGTTTTACGATTGTGGAACACTCCTTATTTAAATACACAACATCAGCATAAATCCTTTTGTTTTAGGAGAACAAATGGTCTTTGGGTAAGCCAATTTACATCCGTCATTTTTCAAAACAGATTCCAGTTTGTGTCCAAAGCGCCACCTATCGGTGGATTGGGTTTTCAGTACCTACCTGAGTCCGAACGTGGATTTCCCCGAAAGAGTATCCGAGGTTTTCGTCCCACCTCTAAAACAGAACATTTCACCATGATCTTCTTCACCCATTATCATCCTGTAATTGGGGCAGCGTTAAATGCGCCGTTGGATAAACAGTTAAAATGAAATTTGTACACACTGGTTCCCAATTATTTTCCTCGTTCTTACTGAAAATGAAATATATGCAATTGGGGAGGGAACTCTATTTAACGAGTTCCGAATTTCGATAGACACCAGTGATAAATCCCCACACTTAAAAAGTATTTTAAAAAAATACAACTTTCACAGGTGTCTAGGCTGGACAGAAAAATGTTTGACATGTCCTCTTTCATTTTCCTTTCAATTTTTAGTGGGTTGACTGATGAAAAATTCTCACCCAAAGCACCCTTAAAATGAAGAAAATTTTACTGCCATGGAAAAGTAGCCATTTTGAAAAAAGCAACCTCTGCAAAACAAAAAGTGCCACTTTTGGACCCGATTGCATCCAAATTGCTCAGAATTGGAAGCCCAAAGTCCAGGCCAGAGGTTCAGTGCCACATTTCCTTTATTTCCCAATTCCATGGTTCTCAGGACTCCCCAAAAATAAATGTTTTGAGTGTATAACATTTATTGAATTAATGAGCTTGGCCGACATATATGTGGCCAATTTACGGGGGTGCACTGTCAGTACTCGTCGTAGTCTGTATAGATGTAAGTGCAGTGGAGAGTGTCCATATTAAAAGTTAATGGAATGCATCACTGCAAGCGGATGCACATTATGACACAGACCACAAAACAAAACAAAAACAAAAAAACGCCCGTAGGTGATGCCTTCCCTCAAACTGTTCGGTGTTTCCGTGTCACTTTTTGTCCGTCAGTGAGGAGAAACGAGATAAATTCAGCACCGCTCGAGAACCGATATTTTCACTGCAGTGTCTGTGAAGTATTCCTTCCGATTTCTGTTCACAAGAACAGCTCAGTAAATTTCCAACAATAGCTCTAAAATTGGGTCATTTACCTGTTTTTGCCGATATATCGGTGCCTTGCAAATTTCCGGGAACTGCAGTTGGTTCAACCGTATGTTCCAACGGAGTCCCAAACGGGCCCAATTTTAAATTCGATCGTGGATCATCGTGTACAGCTACGAGCAAATTATCTTCACAGTGAGGTCAGCGATAAATAAGATTTTCAAGTAGCGGCACCCACGTACTCTTGAGAATTTTACACTTTCTTGGTTCCCATGTTAACGCTGTATAAGCGCCGAATGGTTATCGTGAGGGCAGTGTCCGAGGTTGTTGAAGCTCTGATGGGCCCAGTTTCACGGAGCTTTTTGAAAGTTAGCAGAAAAGTTCTAACTTCGTTGAAAAAATTTGCTCACGTTCAGCACTATTTCATGGCAGTGCTTGGCGTGGTTGTGCTTAGGGTCGCCCGCCCATAGAGATTTCTATCATTATGTCACTGAGTTAAAAGCAATTTTTCCTCCAAGGTTAGCATGCCTTTGGCTGTGCTTACTGCTTATGGTCCACATGAAATACATGGAGCCTCTGTTAGCAAGAAATCGTGTGCCAAGCACGCCGTGAAATTGGCCCCTGTACGCACGAGCTCTTTTTATAAATTACGAAGCCGGGCCGGAAAACATGTCACCATTGTCATTTTCACTGCGAGACTGGAAAACCAGTGCAGGTGTGTCGCTTACGCTGAAAGTGATTTCAGACAGCTGTCTGTCCGGTATTACACGATAACACATGGATGAATGTCCTCTTGGGTGGCATTCGGGGTTTCACAATTTTCTTACGCGATGAAGGCTCCTACAAGGCTAATAAATAACAATCCATAAGTCCTCTCATATTGGATTCCACAAGCCAGATAGTAGTTGAGGAAACGTGTAGGCATCATGTGATGAAATTTTCTCTGAGAAAAATCACAAGTAGGATTCATCGCAGAGGGGAAAATGACATGTACAATTTGTCGTCGACCTTATATGTTTGGACGTCCTCCCCTGGGCAGATTTTCAATCAATATTTAATGAAGGCCGGCAGCAGGAATTGGTAAAGTGATAAGGTGAATAATTAACGATTGAAATTGAAAATCGAGAATATTGAAAATAGTGGTGATCGGCCGGGTTCAACACCTTTCCAAATTTTGCAATCACTCGGGAGGGATTTGATACAGTCACACTTTGAAATATTCAAAACATTGACAGTCCCTTGGCTAAGCATTTATCTGTTTTAAATTTAATAAAAGGTTGTGATTCGTAAAGTAAGCAGAAATGAACACATGGGGAAGTCATCGAAGATGTTGACTGTATGTACACGTACATGTATGCTTAGTTTTGGGGCCCGGGTATGCTTTTTCAACTCAAAAGAATTAAATACAGAAAAACATCTTGTCACAAATACAACAGTTCAGCATAAAAAAGGGTCGAGTTCAGAAAAACTGTCACGTATAACAGAACTGAGGATTCTGAATTTCGGACAGTGAACTGTTCTCAAAAAATATTTAGAGGTTGTTTCAGCTTATGAGAAGCACTTGGCATTTGGTGTGGGAAATTCTACTGTGAGAAAGTCAGAATGTCATTATTTTCATTCCATTTTTTTTTTTGAATCTGTGTCCATCAAAGGCCATTTCGGAGTCGTTCGGTCTGTTATGTGGATGCAATGCCGTCACATAAGGCCTTGTGTTCAAATTGTTCACACAGCGCATAGAATGACCTCTCCGTCGTATACACTGAGGCCAACGGCACATCTGTCTAGTGCTTGTTTGGCTCGAATTACTTTGTTACACATAATACAAGAGAGTCGGGATTTGCATTTGCAACAGCGAGTAAATATCTTTCCTTATTTATCTGCCATGTTTGACCCAGAATATTTGACGAGAAACGACTTTTTCACCGACAAATCTTGACGTACTTTGTTTTGTTTAACGAACTTTGTAGGCCTAGATCTCGTCGACTCTCGTAAAATCGCGTACGTATGTAACAAGAGGTATTGGTGTTCGTTTTGTTCCATTGCTTTTGCTGTTGCATTTTGTTGATTGCAGCATTTGTGCTTGTGATCCACAGGACACAGTGGCTACCGATCTAGACATCTACTCAGCACCGGGAACAAAACAGGTCACGGCATTGATTCATGTGACTACGAGACCCAGCATGTGACAGCACTGTTCGTGGTCGTGTATACCATTCTCATCCTCATATTCTTCATCTGTAAGTTGGTAAACGTTTATGAATCAGTTCAGAGACGGGGGCCAACCTCTTGACTTTTATCTTCAAGAAAAATATCCCAACTTAATTTTGCGTAATCCGACGAGACGCCATAGCTGCGCTGAAGAATTGCACTCACGCGAGTTGAACGAAGAGTTATTTAACGCGCGTGTACCGTCTGCGCGTCTCTACAGCGCATTCGGTTACTTCTTCGCTGACTCGTGATTCACCAAATGTATAGATGCACATGCGCAAATGTGTGGTCGTGAAAGAAAAAGAACTGTGAAATCAACAATGTAAAAATGTCTTCCAGTAATAATAAGTACTAAATAATGCCAATAGCTGCTCAATGCATATACATAATGTACTGTTCTGTTGAATACAAACGGGTAAATCCGCATTTTGAGTCAAAATCTGTCAAAAACAAATTTGTGCAATTCTAAGAGGCTTTGGCTGCCCATACAACATTGCGATCGACGTTTACAACAAGCAAGAGGTCTTTCGAAATGACCAATATCGTTTTAATTAGAAGTTCAAAAGTTGTTATCAGGTTTCACATAAAAGTACCAATAAAAAAAAAGAAAATCCTTTCTTCATCTTGGAAAAATCCACCGTCGTAAAAAAGATAAAAGAAGGCAACATTTCGATTAAGAACACTGACATGAAACACGTGTCTCAGCTTTCCTAAAAGCTAAAACATCGAATATGATTATGCGAAGAGGAAAAAATCTGTATCGTTGCAGGTATCGCTGTTGTTGGCGATGCCATGCGTTGTATGACCATCGGGATCTGCATGCTTCCACATCACTCTATCATGCCCAAGGGGTTACTCCCGCACGCGAGCCTTTTCATTCCCCGTCCTTGACCTTGACTACGGTACTCGGCGTGCGGATCTATAGCAGGCTCGGATCGCCAGCTCCGAGGCAGTCCCAAAGCGAAAGGCGGGGGAAAAAGTTCCATTAAAAGGGTTATGGTAGCGGCAGCAGGCAACCTCATTGTCATGCTGTTTCTCTTCTGTGACTCCCACAGTAGTCGCCTCGTGCCTCACCATAAAAATGTGTTTGGTTTTTCTCAAAGCGGAGAAAGCGTTTTTGCCCGGAGATGCCTGCTGCATGAGTTATTTCCAGGGACGCCTCCGATTATGTTGCCGAGTGGCCATGACATTTGCAGGAGATGTATTTTTATTTTTTATTATTTTTTTTATTTGAGAGACAGCCGCGACCGCAGGCAAAAGAGAAGGGACGATTTGATAAGGAATTCGCACCATTAGACTCGCTGGAGTATTCCAAATGAAGCGCGAGAGAACTGCAGGAAAAAGCGTTGGTACCATTGCTCAACGTAAACTGCATGACGTGCCCGAAGTTTCCTCCTCTGTCAACCATGCATAAATGTATTCGACAGCCCTCACTGAGCTTGTAAGCCAGCATTTTTTATTTATTGGATTACGGACATAACTTCAAATTATGCAAGGTCGAAGGGCGGAAAAAATATATAAACCCTAAAGTTCCATTTTCCCCCACAATTGACTTATTAGTCCATTTTTGCTGGACCTTAAAAACCGCAGTCGGGGAAATGTCTTACAATTTTTTATTTCTAAACTTGCATCATTCAGAGTCGTCGGGTTCGTAATCCGACCAAAAAAAAGCCCAACAACAAAGGTTTGCCCATGTGAACTCGTGTAGACTGCCGTGATAAATCGTGTTTCCCCATGGTCCACAATTTCAAAATAACCATTTTGATGACAGCATTAGACTATATTTACAGGGCCAGCTGTTTTGAATTCGAAAGCGAGATTAACTCTTCGTTTTTGAATGTTGAGAAGACAAATGAAGCAATAAAATGAAATTTCCTGTTAAATGCGCACCTGTCTACTCTAATGAATAATTTCAAACTTATGATTTTAATAAAATGTACATTGGTGTTGTTAACCAGATAAAGAAAACTATTGAAAGGGAAGCTTTGAACACACGGAACTATAAAACAATCTGGTGCCATCCTAATCGACAGTTTGCAATATATAAAACAAATTTGGGGAATAAGATCAAAAATGGCCTCCACTTGAATAGGGTCTATACTCCTTAAACTGAACAGGAGTATTGTGTAATGGGACGAACACTCTAAATGTGTTGAAACCTCTTGGTAATTCCTAAAAGTCCAAAACTCAGGGATTCTGTTTTCAGTTTCTTAAATCACTCGACACAAACTTTAAACGCTAACCAAAGAGAAGATTCTAGAGATGTCTTGGTGATTGGGATTGCACTCAGAGGAGCTAAAGAATACCGTGAAAGTGGCTAGGGGAAAACCAAATCAGTCACAGTCGGAAGGTTCGGTTCATAATTCATTGTTCAGCCAATCTTATACACAGTGCAGGTTGATCCTCGTTGGACCCACACACAAAACGCATGTTTTGCTTTTAAAGTGTTGCATCTTACAATGAAAAGGAAATCCATTGCTGCTGTTCGTCTGCGAAGTTCTGTTGCAGATGAAAACAGCTATGGCATTCGAGGTTGCATCTAAATCTGTTTTCTGGGTCTGAAGGTCTAGGTCTCAGTCGCTCCAACGGAAATACGCGGAGACGCACTGAAGGGAGACCTGGCCGGAGCTCTGGAAGCTTTTTTGGGACACAACCGTATAGTCTCCCGAATATCTACTGTGGTCCTGATGTCTGAGAACTTCGATTGCTATTTTTTTCCTGCTTTCCATTTTCAATGTCAACAACGACTAATTGGCAGCTGGGGTCTTTGTACTTTAAATTAATACAAATGTAAACGATCATTTATAGAGGGCAGCAGTGCCGTGCTCGGCAGGATGTGCCATAGTACATTCTACCGGTTACTTGGATTCTTGGATTAAAATAAATGCGCACGTAAGCAACAGACGTCATTGCGGATATTAATATGTGGTCGATTGGTTCTATGCCCTGAACCTTTGGATTATCATTGTACTTTCCAGCGCTTGCTATCATCTGTGATGATTTCTTTGTGCCATCGCTGGAGATCATCTCGGAGCGGCTGGAGTTGTCCGAAGATGTGGCGGGAGCTACCTTCATGGCGGCTGGATCGTCGGCGCCCGAGCTGTTCTCCTCGCTGGCCGGCGTGTCCGTGGAGAGCGACGTCGGGGTGGGAACCATCGTGGGCTCGGCAGTGTTCAACATACTCATCATCATCGCCATGTCCGCCGCACTTGCTGGTCAGGTAAGTGGCTTGCCATCAAGGGCAGATGCAGAACCAATTTCATTATTATTTTTTTTTTCACGGGGGCCAACTTTGATGGGGGTAGAGATGGGGCCCAGATCTGAATATTGTTAATGTAACCTTGGCATTTCTCATGGGAGGCTACATTTTGTGGTTTTTTACGCGCTTTTCGGAAGGTATGGAAATGAAAAGGACCAGAGAAATTGTCTCTTTCTCATTTAAAAAAAAATGAGATTTGTCCCCTTATAGGGGGCATGGCTTCTCTTGGCCCCTTGGAGCCAGCAGTGTCCTGCCATCAAGACGTGCGCAGTGTAGTAGTTACGTAGATGTGAGCTCCGTGCTGAACCAAGAGAGGGCGCAGTTTTCTTAGAAACGGAAGCTCCTTTGGTGGGAACTGCACTTCGCTGGTTAGCAAACAACTATGAAATGTACCCTTTATGGGCGCGTCGCCACCAACAAAATAAATACCCACCATGGTCATGGCTCTCTCCAACCGATAAAAGGTTGTTTCTGCTGGGAGCGCATTGAGTTTTACCTGAGCGAAAAGGTGGGACTAGGGCAAGGGGAGCGTGTCCCCTACCCCAGCGGACATCCATGCCGTAGTGGCCCCCATTATGATAACTTGAAACAAAACTAAGTACTTGTAACAGTTTATTTGCTCTTGGTTCCAACCTGAAAAAAATGCGCACCAGCTTAATTAAACAAGCCACTGGTTACACAGGCGATATCTTGGAAATACTCGCTTGCTCTGAATGGAGGTCGAGGAATTTAACAACCTGGTATTTAAAATCTTGAAACTGGTAATAAGTTATATTTGGGAAACGTGTACTTTTTCTTTTAATATCTCTAATAAAATGAGAGACGTAAAATCGGTGATAACGTCTGAACCTAACATGCGAGTGTACAGGCACCTTTGCATTTGCATGTCAACACTTGTGACAAGCGTTGCGTATCCGTCAGAATCGCACACGGGTGTTGTTTTAATGGAGTTGATTTTCGTGTACGTGAAAGTGAAACGCATGAACGTATCGTGCACGCAACGCACCAAAAAAGTACATATGGAAAGGCGCCTTAAAACTGCGTTTGACCGTGTTCCTAGTCTTGTGTTAACACGAGTATAGGCCTACTCCCGATCGAGAGTATGGGCCACTTTGTTTCATGTGATCCGTCGCTGGTTAACTGACATGAAAACCCGCCTAATCGATGGAGCAAACCAGCGGTAGGATCACTGATCGCGATCCAGATCCGAGTAAAAACAGACTGGCCCCAACCTCTCAGTCATAGCAGGAGTATGCTCTTCATCCGCGACAAATGCGCACGCACTATTTTCCTGCACTACACGAGCAGCATGCGCGAACGCAACCTCACATAGCCGTTGAAGTCTTTTCGTCTACAACAATTGGGTGCATGCGTCTTCAAGTTGAGTTTATAGACGCACTTATTTCCAACTGAGCTCCTTTGCCATAGGACCCCCCTACTTACAGATTTTAAAACGTGCCCAAGAAAAGTAAAAACATTCACGAGGCACACTGTCCCTCGGGATTTTCAAGATAAACCCGTCCTGTCGTCATCCATCAATGTTGATTTTAAAGAAAATTGTTTTCCCCGTTAATAACGGATGTCATATGCGTCTGATTTGTAATTTGTAGGTGCTCCAGCTAGACTGGCGCCCACTGCTCCGCGATAGCATCTGGTACGCACTGTCTATCGCCTGCTTTATTGTCTTCTCGTGGGACGGCCAGTTCGAGCTGTATGAAGCCATCGTACTCTTGGTGCTATATGGTCTGTACATAGTCATCATGAAGTTCAATACTTCTATCATGGACTTGATGAGTTGGTGAGCATTTGATAAGGGCACTTTGCTGAGTTAACGCTGTTGGGCTGTGTAAACATGTATAGGCAGGCAGCCATAGTGGAATCGTGGACATGCTTTTGTGTCCTCTTGAAATGTGACTACAGGCATAGTGAAGAACTATGGTTTCAAATGGATTTAACTTCCAAATCATGTTCAGTGTTGGAGCATTATGACCAGTTTAAATGCACAATGGTTGGGCAATCCATTTTTATGTTGCTCTATGAGGGAGAAAGGAAAGACAATGATACACTACAAATGACGTGTCGCAGTGACGATGCCTTATACATGAAGCTTGCACGTTCAAAGGGAAGACGGAGAAGACTCAATCCATACATTCACATATCTCCTTTCATTTATCGTGTCCGTGCGGTTTCTTTCATTTTAATAGCAACAAGTGTCGAAAGACTAAAGTAGAACCGCTCGAGTCCGGGAACGGCCAGGACGACCAAGCAGGATCCGCCAAGGTCACACCCGACGACGCAGCGTTTACCCCTGCTGTAGCCGCCGAGAAGCAGATGTCCCACGTAAGTTGACACCTTGGAGCTAGACAGTCCGTCAAGAACGTTAGATACGCAGTCTTGATCAAAGTAGACTATTCTCTGGGGACCAGTGGAAAGCAGATAATTGGAAAGAAACGTTTCCTCTTCGCTTGCACGTGACGATATCCTGCATATGATGGACTACGATTTTATTAAAAATACTTCATCTGGTGAAAGTCAATCTTATAACATAACATAATAAAGTCACAAAGTTATGTCTGTTGGTCGTCAGTTAGGGAGTAAAAAACCACTGAAAGTTAACTTGACGGGGATTAATTTTATCTCACGATTTTGGTACCGGTATCAGACTTTTTCAATTTGCTAAAATCACAGAGGCACATTTCTCAAATGACGTCAGATTGCAGCACACCCGACAGAGTTACCCTCTCTCACGGACGGTGTGCTTTTGCGATATTCGAAAGGCTTTAATATTACAAGACAGATAGATATTCAAAATGTTAACGGCTGTCTCTCTCCTTCACCTTCACAGGCGGACCGCAAGCTTTCTATCATATCCACAGCCTCCGGGGGCGGGTTGCCACGATCGTCGTCGTCTCACAAGCACATCTTTCATCATGTCAAGCACGGGGAACTCGCAGCGAACTTCGTAAGTAATCAAAGTCAGGCAGCGAGAAGAGCACCAAACACGAACGCAATGTAAGGCCAGAGTGTAGCAGCCCCACCCCCAGACTTTGATATCCAGAGTCTATGGGGCCTGAGGAGACAGCGTGATGTTATCAAAGGAAGTCACGATTAACGATTGCTTCTTTCAATGCTCGCAAATATGACGGCTAGAGTATATCGGATAGGCTACTATGATCTGTATTCTTAAAGGGAGGGCGATACTACGTTAAATTTCATACCTTAATAAATGTTATTTTTCTTTTCAAATTCTCTTCCCTCTGATGTTTTCGTGTCCGTGTTCTGCTCTAACATTTCATTGTCGCCTTTGCACCTGTCTCATCGTTTCATAACACGAACCCTGCACCCTTTCCCTGCATTTCTGGCATTTCTCTCTCTCAATGTGCCCTGTCTCCCGCCTTTATTCTGTCACTCCCGGCTGCCCCTGATTCGCGCTCAACCTCAAAACACTCGGTGAACATGCCCTATTACAGACGTCCTCTCAGATCGACGTCAAGCGACCGGGCGATGTCGATTCGCAGTGCGGCTCGCACCACGGCGGTCAGATGGGCAGCCGGATCGGCAGCCTGGCTGGCAGCGTGATCATGGAAAAAAGCGACGAGGCCACGTACCAAACGCCAACGCGCGGCGGCGGCGGGGGCCATGGCCCGTCCGCGATCATTGAGAACGAGACCCCCGGCGGCCGCGTGGTGGTCACCGACTCCAGTCGGGACTCGGAGCCCTCCACGCCCCACGGGGAGATCCGGTTCGTGGTCGGGGCCGAGGACACGGGCAGCCTGGGCGGCGTGTCGGCCGAGTTCGGTAGCCGCGCTCACCTCATTGTTCCCCAAGCATCGTTCAACGATGCCGACTCTGGCATCCACAGTGCCCAGGGCCTCACCCCTGTCATCCCCGACTCCTCTGATGACCCTACCTTTGTGCACTCTGATCCCGACCCCTCTGATCTCAAGGCTAGCAAGAGACACTCCATCACTGTCGTCCATCACGAGCATCCTGTGCTGCCTGCAGTACCGCCAAACGCTGAGGACGACACACCTGCCAAGCAAGACATCATCGAGGTATTTCCCTTCAAAGAAATCAAAAGACGACAAAACAATAACTAAAAGAAGGAGAGAATTTGGTCCAATTTCACTGCTCTGGTAAAACACAACTGCTTGCAACAGACCCCTGGTAACTAAAGGCAAAAGATATGCTGACTTAGAGAGCACAACTTCTTAGAATAGCGACGCAAGAGAAATCTCCAAGAGCACGCTGTGCTGTGGCACAACGCCCTAGTTTGCGCAGTTTTTCTGATGAGAGTCTGGCAATGTTATAAAGTAGGCAATCGGTCATAATTAAACTGACGTTTTGTCTACCTACGCAAATTGGTGAACCAGATGCCAGCCGAAACGCCATCTGTGTCTACCTTATTTTTAGTTGAGCATGTAGGCCAAACTTGTAATTCCAGAGAAGAGACCAACGGTAACACTGCTCTGGATATGTGCCACCTTTAATATGGTCGCATTTTGCCCATACGTTTGCTGTTTCAGGAGGATGAGGTCATCGATGAAGAGTTGACGCTCCGTCCCATCCCGTGTCTACCGGCGATCAGCATGTACTACCCGGACCGCGAAGTCATGCAGTCCCGCTGCGGCTACCTGCGGTACGCCCTCAAGTGGCTCATGTTTTGCATCAGCTTTCCCTTCATGTGCGCCTTCACCTGGACCATACCAAACTGCAGTAATCCCAAATACAAGTGAGTGAACTCATCCATTCCCGTCCCCTAAATGTGCGTTTTTTCATTAAACAGCATGATTTTACAGTTCACAGTGCTGCCAGAAGGTTTTAATATGGTCACTAATGATATGCACATTAGAGCCCTCTCGCGTCACACAGGCCAGCAATCACGAATACGTTGGGCGAAAACGATGTGCCTAGCAATACAAGTTACACATAGGAAAGAAATCCGATCGGTATGCAATTGTGTATATTAATGACATTTCATGAGGGCAAGCCCACTCTCACTCCAACTGTCTTCCAGGAAGCCCATGTAAGCCAGACTGCTGATTGGCCAGAACTTTAATTGGCCAGGTCTTTTAAAAAAAGGCCCAAGTGTCTGAACACTGCGGTCTCGCGCTCTCGTGCATTTTTTACCCCTTAACAATCGATGTGCACGTACGAGATAATAATTGTGTGTATGAAAGTAGTATACGCAAGAGTAAAATTCAATTGTTGTACGAGCCCACGAGTCAAAATTCATTAGTTGTGCCTTTACGTCTCGTATAACTCGCGTGTATAAGCCCGCAGTACTCATGGATTTTTAACAAAAACTCAAAGGTTTTTTTCAGAGGTTGTCACTAGGCCCTGTTTACAGCTTCGTAAAGACGACATTGAAAAGACGAATTTTTCTTTATATATATGGCATCGAAGGTTACTGCTGTTTTGCGTAGAAAAACAAGTCCCATTGATTTAATAATTTCCTCTTGCAGGCGTTTCTACATACTGTCCTTTGTGCTTTCTATTGTCTGGATCGCCATCTTAAGTTTTGCCATGATCACCTTAGTGACGAAAGTGGGCTGCATCCTCTCCATCGATGCTTACTCCATGGGCTTGGTTTTTGTGGCGATTGGTACTAGCGTGCCGGTAGGTGGCGTACTTTGCTGGACTGACACATAGCTGTTTATGGAGGGAGTTCAAGTGCCGCAACATGAGTGTCTCAATCACAGACATATAAACGAATAGACCGCCAGGCCCAATTCAAAACTACGGGAGTTTTTCGTGATCTGCACGGCACCCGACTACAATCAAAACTATGGGCAAATTCACCCCTCGGTATAGGGAATTTACGCACAGTTGGAGAAATCCAGCCATAAAATTCTATGAAGCCATTTTTTGATTGTATAAAAACCCTTTATGTACCATAGGGATTCAAACCAATGCGTTCGCAACAGTTGAAAAGAAGAGATAGCAGTACCGAAGACACGAGAGCAAAAAAGGTGAACGTATTAGGAAGCACATGTAAACAAATACACTCAGGCATAATAAGAGCGTTTTCATCCACCGTTCCGCTCCTTGTTTGCCCATACTTTTCAAAAACACGGTTATACGCGTAAGACTGGCGGTCTATGCGTTTAAATGTCTGTGGTCTCAATACGGGCGTTTTACAATAATGCCCCTCCAAGAGTTTGCAACGTGTTGACCAATCACAGTGCACGACAGTGCATCTGTCGACCTAATGCGCTTCTGGAAAGGGTCGACAGATTTCGCACCTTGTGATTGGTCAACAAGTTGCAAACTCTCAGAGCTGCACTATTTTAAATCTTCGATATTGTTTGAACCAAAATTGTGGATTATGCTAGATTGCATACGGACAGTTAGCGCACAATAGCCGCACAGTGCACTGCACAGAATGAACAGCCATTTTAATTTCAAAGTCTGAAGTTGGCGCAACTCTTTCTATACATCTCGAGACTGGCATAGAAGAGAGTTGACAACATCACATAAGAAGCCATTTTGATTCCAAACCTGCATGCGTTTTTATGCCTAAAATAGTCAGCCATCTAACTTCGCTGAGGCCTTTGTTATATCAGCTCCAATGTTATAGCCATTGTATTGATCGATAAGTGAAATCCCGTGCGCAACATCCCAAGATTTCGTAAACAAAATAGTGACCATTATCTTGTCATGCACGACCTCATGTCGCATCTCTATTCGTACAGCTAAAATTCAAGATTCAAAAACTTTGAATTGGCGCTGGATTGGTTGTAAGCACACTAAACGAAAAGAACAGGGACAAAACCAGCAATGTTGACTGTTTTTCTTTCCACGGTTCCGAGTATAACTCTATTTACGGCGGTGTGATTTCAGCTGAAGTGACGTCACACACCGTTTCGAACCGCATTGTCCAATTACTTGCATGCTTTTGTTCACGTGACCTTTTCGTTGTCAAACAGCAGTAAATTAAAAAGTGACCCACCATTTTCTCCCCAGGATGCAATCAGCTCTATATTGGTGGCCCGTGATGGCTTCGGCGATATGGCTGTCTCTAACGCCATCGGTTCTAACGTGTTCGACATCGACCTTGGGCTTGGCCTTCCGTTCCTCATCAGTATCATCATCTTCAATAGACCACTTAATCTACTCACTCAGGAGGAATCTGTAAGTCGACGTACATAAAGTAGAAATAGGAGGGGAACTTTTTTATGATACTATAGCTGCCATGGTTGTTTTGTTCCCGGAAGACCCACAGGCAATAGTAATACAAGGTCTCATATTGATGAAAGGGAACAGACGATTTTTCCTTCCAGCCTCAATTTGGTTTACAGAGAAAAGCAAGATGAGTGTCCCATCATGATAGGGGTCTAATAACGGAGAAAACCTTCCAATTTAGCCTGAATAGAAAGACTGAGAGCTTCGTGATCAATATGGCAATGAGATTTATTGCTTACAAGGGAATTCCGCTGCACATTTTTGTGACGTTCCCAGTGGCGTAAATCTGTGTTGCAAATTGGAGAGATGGGGATGGGGAATGGTGGAGGAAAGAAAACTAGGGGTGGGGCTTTATCAAATACAGTATATAGGGGGCGATGTTCATGGTAAAGATGTACATCAGTAATATGTATCAAATACATGCAGAATCTTACATCAAAATGCCATATTTATGGCTTTTTAAAATTGGTTTCCCTTTTTAGTGATATTGCAAACATTTTAGTCGTTCGAGAATCCTGAAAATTCTTCACAATTTGCTTTGTTTTGCTCATCACAAAAATGTATTGGGGGAGGATTCAATTGCCAATCCCCCACCTCAAATAGTGCAGGGGATACATACCCCCCCCTTCCCCGGGATTAACGCCCATGGACGTTACATTTGCTTCACGGGGGCTTTGGCTCAAAGTATATGAATTGACCGTAAGCAGCACATCGCGAAATCACGAAGACTCATGAGTGATTCACTTGCTTCGAATTATGGGCGTAAATCCCTGGAGGGGACGGGAAGCATGCACTGGCCCACTTTTGACCTGGGGGATGGGGCCATCTATAACCATCCCTTCACTTGTTGTGGTGAGAAAGAAATAAGGCGTATTCTGAAGAAGAATGCAGACTTCCAACAACCAGAATGGATTCAATAACACTTAAAGAAAGAGAAATCTAAATTTCTGTAAAGTGCTGTATGATTGTAATACGTATTACAAATGTAAATCCGTATCATGAACTGAAGTCAACCCTCTCCCACAATCCCTCACCCCCCTACACACACAGTTCCCTGCACAAGTTTACTTGTGCTCTTCAACTCGGGGCAAATAGTTTGACAGATTCTGTTTGAGACAAGCTAAAAGCTGGTTCATTCTTGGTGACGAATCACACATGAACGAGACATTGTGACGCTAAAGTTTATCACGTTTCATCCTGTGAGCAAATATTTCGCTGCAGAATTTTTGTGACGGCAAAACAAAACTTCGCTTCGCTTTTCCTGCTGTATGAACTGACCTCAAGTCCAAAACCTTTTACAGCCTTACTTACAATTTTGACCCGCCACGGTGCAGCTGGAAGGAGAGTTAGTAGTGTGTCTTGCCGGTCTCACTGACGGTTGCTTCCCCCATGCAGGACATGCTGGCTACCGGAGCCCTACTCATGACGCCACACGCTAAATTTGGCTTCATCCTGCTTGGCATCCTGGTCCTCACGCTCATCGTCTTTGCCTGCGTCCGCTTCAAGCTCAACAGGGTCGTCGGCGTCACTTTCGTCGCGGTTTACGTCCTTTTCCTCATCTACGCCTTCCTGCAGGAGTTGGTCTGCAAATACATCTGCTAACAGCATGAGCTCGGACCCACGGATTCCAAGCATCGTCTATGTACTCACCTTCACGATGGATACTTTGAAGCAATGTCAGTTGCAGCAAAATGTGCACACTTGGTGGCAGCAGCTTAAGGTCACTTCCAAATATCGGCTTCGTCAGATATTTAACTCTTAGTGTAAATAATATGACTGCTGTTTTCACTTTGAAGCCGCACTCTGACATTGAAGCCGATGTTTGAGAGATTGCACCTTTTGTTGTCCTAGTTGTCTCTTTACGATCTACAACACGGACGTATA